TTTTCAGTGCTTGACTGGCCACGCTTTCTCTTCCGACTCGTGCCGACTTTGCTGGGTCCTGCGTTCGTTTGAGCATTGCTCTCCGTCGAAGACTCTTCGTATGCAGTATCGTCCTCGGAGTAGGACTCTTCAGGCGTATGCGTGGCGTCCCCTCTTGCGGTTTCGGACTGGAGCTCAATGAAATGCTCTACATTGGCCCGCACAGACTCAGGATCTGCGTCGTCATCCTCATCCGACTCCTCTGCGCTAGACAAGTCTGCGTACTGCATGCCATGCTCAGGCTTGGTATCATCCGTCTCGTGTGCTGCCGCATACTGCTTCCCTCTAAGACGCTTTGACGGGGCGTAAGTGCGGTTTCCATGAGTGGCCTTGACCGTTTGACGCTTCTTGCGCAGAGAGTCCAAGAATTCACGGGGTCCTTGATCCATCAGAATTTGGACCTGTTCTCTGAGGGATTTCTGTGCCTCAGCAAACCAAGCATCGAAGTTCCGGCCTGCGCTTTCGGGAACTCGTGGCATGCCCGTGAATCTTTGCATTCTCTCGTAGTATGACTGGTGGTTGAGAACAGACCAGGGCACCAAAATAATATCGGCACGAAGAATATCGCTGATCATCTTTTTCGAAAATTCTGTTCCAGAAGGCAACACCAGGACCTCGTACTTTCTACCCACGAATTTTGTGATTTCCAACTGCCATTGCTGAAGCACGATTTGGGGCACGAGAACGAGAGTTGCTTTAGTGGGAATGAAGCCCGCCATGGGCTTTGGTATAGTGTCATGGCCCCTGCTATGCTGCACGTCAATAAGCCCCAGTGTGATCGCCGTCTTGCCGTATCCTACATCGTCCGCTAAGACACCTCCGCGGACGGTTCTCTGGACCATGACCTTGCCCTCTGCACGCCACATCATGGATGGAAGAATTGCCTCTTCAACCTCCTCCTCGACGAAGGGAGCAATATCGTCCTTTTCTTGCTCTAACATCCATGTCAATGACCGCAATTGCTCTGGTCTCAGAGCTTTCTGAAAATTTGTCGGTTGGCTGTGAGGCGGATCGTTTCTGTTGCTCAGTAAATTGAATTTAGGAAACGGGACTCTTTGTTCATCATACGCGTTTGGGACGAGGCGCCAGTAAAACGAGGGATTGCTTGACCCGGAGCTGCCCAGCCTTGCATGGGCTTTATGCAACAGCGTTTGCACGTTTAGGGTGACAAGGAAGTGGCCAACGTTATCTTCATCGACACGGCGAAAAATCAAGAACGGCGATGGCTGCGCTTTTACCTGACGCTCATACAAAGCTGCATCCCTTGGATCCTCATATGCTTTGATTGAACCTTTTATATCCCGACCCCACAGTATTCTCGGCTTTGGAGGAGTGCACACAGAGCAGATGGAGCCGGTTTCTTCGCCCAGTGAAACATACGTGGTAATTGGGTTCCAGTCCTGAAAGCCAGACAACTCCGAAGACTTCTGAAGCAACCAAGCAAAATCTCGCAGCAGAGATCTCGATTCTGTCGGATTGGTTATTTGCCATGGCCCTTTACGCCATAGAGAGTCAATCGCATCAGCTGGCGCGGTGAGGGATAGCAGGGGGATGTTTGCATCGTGGCAGCCAGCATTTGTCATGAAGACAGTTGTCCCTGGCCGCAGGTCCCAACAAGTGATAGTGGAATCTGAGGGGTGTACATGCAGCCTCATGGTCTGAACCTGGACCCATTTGCGATAATATGCGTTGACATTTCTCCGAGCATCGCTTGCTTTGGAAGAGCGCCATTTGTGTGATAATTCAGCAATCGTGTTTCGGGACTCATAGCCGGGACTACGCTGATGCCCCAAAGCGAATACAAAAGAGTCGTTCTTCGGCTCTCCCAGCTTCGTGGGGTCAAGGAATAAATACACTTCAGGGTCTGCATCGGTGGCCTCTTTCTTATGCAGGCATCCATTTGCGGTGCCACAGTCAGGCAGAAGCTGATAGGTTCCACGGATGTCGACTTCAAGGTGCCCACAATCGTAGCTGGAGCCTTGAACCTCCAGACGATTCCAACGGCTGGCATTAACAAATTCCCTCTTTTGCAGACCACAACGTGCCTCATAAGTCGGGACCTGACTGCCAGTGCCTGAGATAGTCAATGTAAACTTTGAACTCAGTGGGGCGCACACCTCCCAGATTCCTTTGGATGTGGCTGGATCTTGGATCATGCGCGCGATGGGCTTCGATAGGATCTCACGGTGAAGGGATAGGGCAGGCTCCGAATCGAGCGGCTTCGCAAAAAGCAACCACTCGAATGTGGAGCCACCGATGACGAGTTTCAAAATGGAGCACTTTCCTTCATAGACAGCAGTCCAAACTTTACTGCGTCGTACATCCAAAAAACGAAGCTCATCTCCAACAGTTCTGGTAACGGCATCCAAGTATTTTTCCCAAACATGATCGGGGTTTCCAGGTAGGCTTCTATCGAAAGAACGATAGCTTTCACGATTCAACCCAGACATGATCAATCTAGCGGGCAGTATGTTTTTGAACCTTCTGATGAAATCAGAGGGCTGACTGCGCATCAAACCGGACCACCGTTCGTATGCATGAGATGGATTACCGGCGCAGTCAGAGCAGGCAGTATGCGCGCACAAGGTGCACTTCAAGATATCTTGCTTTACTCCAGACTGTCTTTCACATATGCAGTACCTTGCGCTGCTTGCGGCTTGCCTTTGAAGATCTAAAATGTTCACTGGGCCGAGTTGGGTGAGCTGCGAGACCCGCGGTATCATAAGGAGATTCTCACGGAGGCCGATTCTCTTGTGCTTGGGAATACAGTTACTGGGAGTAGATGACTGCTCTCCGGGCGGCAGCACTTTATGTCCCACGATAAGGGCGGAGAGCACTGCGGCACCGACGACAGTTGAGCTCATGGCATTCCCAGCGAGATCCTGCAGATCCCGCGGTGATTCTCTGGTGAGCAGAAGTCTGTCCAGTGGCAGACCTTGCAGCGCCAGAGCCTCAAGCCCGCACAGGGGCCCGCCTCTTGTTGTGATATATGGGATACCTGCAGGTGTGATGCAGCCGACAATGCCAAACGCGCGACTATCGACCTCTCGTTCAACGCCTTGGGAGAGCTCAATGCATCTCCTGCGACATATATTAGTCATTTTGCTTATTTTCTCAAGAGGAGTGACCACCTTACTCTTTGAAGTTCATATCATATCCCTCAACCAGCTTCCGCAAAAAGTTGACATCAATGGTATCCCAGATTCGTTCGGGCAAGTATCTGAACCACGTCTGCCACGCAAAATCCAGCATCTGGCATGCGCCGCTGTCTTGAGACTTGCTTATCGGCCGTTCAAAACCGAGTTCCCGGGCTGAACGGTAGTTCTGATGGCGAGCTTGGTACTTTGTCCAGTCGATGGTGGCTCTTACTGTCGTGGACGTGACCCGAATTGACATGTCTTTCTCGATTTGTTCGAGTCTCGGATCGTCTGCATCCAATAGGAACATACCTGCTGGAGAGCTCGCAGGACGTTTGAAGTCGTCGAAAATCTTTGGCCAATCCATCACACTCTGTTCAGAAAGACCGTACTTGCCCAAGAGGTTGCGGTCGATACAGAGCATGTATCCCCGTTCTCGGGTCTGTGGCAGATAATATGCCTTGGTATCGACGCTGTTGTGGACAGCGACATAATTTATCTCGTTCCAATGTTCTGCAATCTTTTCCCATGGCGCAGTTTTGACATTCTCCAGGACGACAATCCGCGGACGGTAGGCTACGGCATAGCGAATGATACCCCAGAAGGTGCCTCCAGACTCACCCTGCTCATCGAGGGTCTTTCTCTTATTGTTCAAACCAGAGAAGTCGACGCATGAAAATCCCGCGATCACCAGATCGGGGTTCTTGGGAATTTTCTCGAGAGAACCATATGCCGTTTGTCTAAAGGGTGATTAGCACGATCAGTCAAGCTTGACGAACGAAGCATCTACTCACGCGAACCGGTCCTTCAGTTGTTTTACATCTCGGAAGAGAAAACGGGGATGGAAATTACGCTCAATGTATGCCTGTTTGAAGGGCACAATCTCAGCGCTAAACAGATGACGAAACTCGAAGTTCTTTCCAAAGCTTTCCCTGAGGACTATGTCGAACATCAGTTTACAATATCGAGAATCTGGAAAGATTATTGCTTACCCTTCTGCACCATTTCCAAAGCAAGCAGAGGACTCTCAGTTCCCGAGCACATGGTGACAACACGCAAAGGCTTCGAGCCCAAGTGAGACAAGACGTCGTCGAAGTTGAGCTCCAGTGCTCTCTTAGTCATGTGCTCGTAGATGTCTTCCAGCTTATACAAAGGAGGAAGGTGAGAGGCAAGTCTAGTCTTTGCTGACATTGGTCCTGAATATGGCTGCGATCTCACTACCTCGGGGATGTCAGGATCAAGTCCCTCTGGAGGCGCGGGAGCCGGGCCCGCCTGTCTGGGATGAGGCATGCCTGCTTCAAAGCAATTGACGTGTTTCTGAAAGGTATTTTTTCCGTAAATGAACTTTGAGTACAAGTATGATTGGGGATAGTAGACAAGTTTGATAGGGCACGTGTATGTCACGTGGGTTCATATGGGTGTTGGGGATAGACGGTGAGGCGGTGAGAGAAATGAGGGAAAAGGGGAAAAGAAGAGGGGCTTGGTGCAGTTTGTTTACGTGCGTGAGATCAGAGGGTGAAAGGGTGGTGAATGATACAGTGAATGATGCGCTGGGGTGAACGTCTGTCGCTGTGTCAACTGGACGACCCGCCAGCTTCTACGGGTCCTGTTGTAACGACAACTCTATGCCCTTGGCATCATGCAAACCGTCTTCTCTGTCAATGGATGACATATGTGATGGAGAATGTATTATTGTACTACAAATTTCGGAAAGACACTACTAAACGCAGTCCTCCAGTAACAACTAAAAAGAAGTAGATTAACGCCTCATCTCCCATCCGCAATATCATAGTGCATCCTACTAAGTACCATAAAAACCAGAAACTAGTCCAAGCCACTCGAAGAGCACTTGCCGCTGGAACCATCTTTCAAGGTATCAACCGCCTCAGTGTCAGACTCACCCGCGACCCCCGCCTGAAGCGAAGCCATCAGCGGATCCATCAGCCGACCCTCCCGGATCGCTTCGTAGATAATCGATATCCAAGACCCGACTGTCTTCTTAGGACGACCGCCGAGAGTATCACTCTGCGCAGTCGGATGCTCGATGAACCCCTGGTGGAACGGCACGCCGAGTTGTCGACGGACCGTCTGGTATAGGATTTTCGAACTCGTTCCGAGCATTTCCTCTGTGTGTTGGTAGCTGAAGAACGCGTGCGCCGTGTCCTGGTAGATCTCGTTGAGGAGGGCACTGGCGCGGGATTTCCAGGTCTCCAGGTCGGAGAAGGTCGGGGCTTGGCTAGTACTTGTACCTGTGCTGGAAGCAAATGTCCGACACAGGATGGGGATGGCGCTTGTGACGACTTCTTCGACGCGGTCGGTAATGTTGAGACGGGTTGTTGTTGGCCAGGATTTCTGGATATGTGTTGATAAGGCTTCGTTGAGGGTTGCGAGGTCGGGTTCAAAGAGGTGTTCGGAGAATAGGTGGGAGGTGAGCGTGTGGAGCTGTGGCGTTGAGCGCTGCAGGAAGGTGAGGTGGAGGACGCGCAGGTCTAGTGCCTGGCAGCCGATGTAGACGCTGCAGGCGCACATGAGGGAGACGATTTCGACCGCTTGCATTGTGTATCGGCTCGACACGAAGGCCATGGAGTTGACGGACTGGTTGTGCATCTCGGCTGTCTGGACGTGGGAGCTGACGGGGTTGGCCAGGTAGGCTAGTTCCGCCATGTAAGAGGCCATGCTAATGTCGACGCCTTTCATGGTGAAGGAGAGGCTGGGGTCGTCAGCGACGAGGTTGGTGGGCAGTCCGTTGTTGAGGCTTGGGTCGATGAGCTCGGTGGCCTGGGCGAAGAGCAGCCGGCCGAACATCTGGAGACAAGTCCGGGTCTTTTCCATGGCGGACGTGATGGAGACAGCTTGGAAGTTGCCGCCGTAGAAGATGTCGTCGGACTGCGCGTCCACTAGGGGGTTGTCGCAGGAGGAATTGAGCTCGACGGTGACTTGCCGGTGGGCGAGAAGGAGATCTTCAAGCTGCGGACCTATCCACTGTGGCACGGTGCGAAGTGCGTAGCGGTCCTGTATCAGGCCTGGACGGTTGCGGTCTTTCAGATTCCGCTCCAGGTTCTGTGCGAGCTGCGAGCCCTGCAGGAAAGACATGACGTTTCTCGCGCATTCAATTTGCCCGTCGTGCGGGCGGATGGCGGAGATGAACGGATGGAAGCTTTCTGCGTTGCCCATGAGGGCTTCCACGGTCAAAGCTGATAGTGCCTGGACTAGGACAGCGAGTTGATGCGCTTCATACATGGCCAGACTGGCCAGTGCAGCAGAGGCAGAAGTACCATTGACGAGGCCGAGGCCCTCCTTTGGTCCTAGTGTCTGCGCCTCGAGACCCGTGGACAGCAAAGCATCGCGCGAGTTCATGATGCGGGTTTTATCTGAATCCTGAACTTGCACATATACATCCGGGCTACCTTCGATGGCTCCCGCGATGTAGGAAAGCGGCATCAGGTCACCTGAAGCCGAGATGGAGCCTCTCAAAGGTACAACAGGCGTGATGTGATTCTCGATCAGCCGCAGCAATGACTCGATCGCAGGCAATGAGACGGCAGAATGGCCTCGAGCGTTTGAATTGCATCGAACCAGCATTGTGCCTCGCACCCACGAGGCAGGCATAGCGTGCGATTCAAGCGACCGCTGCTGACACTGTAAGCCCTTGTCTGATCTAACTAGAACGCCTGCCTGAAGGAGTTGGAGCAGTCCAGACTGCAGTGCAACGACTCGATCAGTTCGAGAGTCAGCGCTTCCACCAAATCCTGTATTGACACCTGTGGATTTTTATTAACATCTAAATCGGTCAATGCCGGTCAACAAAGCATAAATACCGTATACGCAGTAACCCTTGTCCAGATGGTCCATCAAAACTCGAACACTCGCTTCGATGCTGCCTCGGACAACAGGGTCCATGGTCATCCTAGGTATGCACCCATGGCTGCGGTATCAAGACTGTCAGTTTCGCGTTCGCAGCTATTAGAAATGTGACAGACTATACGTACTGTGACACGGCTACCACAGCCGCTATATCAAGGCTTGTGCCATTTACCTCGACATCCTGGCGTTCCAGCAGTTGCTGCAGCCTCTGCCAGGTCTGACAGGCCGTCTCAAGATGGGCATTCAGATAAGAAGTTTTCATTTTCGATTCCTTCAAGCTTAATGAAGCATCGGGATTTGCAGTTGATATCCAATATGCACCTTCTAGGAGTAATTATTTTCGAAAAAGCAAATCAAGTCTCCTATTTATCCCTCGAGCTGACCCGGAATTCGGAACGAGTAGAGCCCTCTCCTCACCCGCAACCTGGAAGCAAATGTCTCAGCTATCCGCCTTCCAGGAAGAACCAAGATCGCCGTATTGAATAATGGGGCAGAAGATCGACTTGCAAAAGTACCATTGCCACGACTGAGGGCGTTCAGGGGGAGGGTGGTTGGTGGCATTGGTGTGTTTGCTTCTTCTTCTGGCCCATCCCGCATTCTCAGCTGTGGATGGCTTGGGAGGTCGCACAACATGGTTGGTCGAGCGCTTGGGGTTATTGATTCAGAATCAAGGTTGGTTTGGATCTATCAATGATCAACGAGAGTCTCGGGATCATGCAAGCCTCAAAAGCTCGTGGTGACCAACCTTGATTCGTGCACTGCAGGTAATTATCCCCTGTAATCTCTTGCATGTTACATCCTCAGTGGCTCAAATGAATCGTGCTCCGGCCGTGCAGCATGCGTCGATCCGATCATGGGATCAAGTAAGATAGATAGGCGTGACGGGAACCAGATCCGTGAGAGATTCGGACAGGGATCGCAGTGGAGAAACCTGTACATAATAATACTTGCTGGGGGTGGAGCGTGCAGACGCTATTGACATTAATTTTGAGGGCCATAAGCGCCTGGCGAATCGGAACGACATGAATGAAGTTGGAAATGTGATATCGTTCCTAGCCTGAGGTCCGTGAGAATAGTGCAGAAGTCTGTTACCAACAACACTCGCATCGTCACCTGATTTTGTTTCTGTGGCCAAAGAATCTAGGCAGCATCCATTATATCCAAGTTACGTGCGATGCTGATTCCTCCAGTGACATCAGGAACATAGACAAACATTCAGTATGTGAGATTGGTATCTGCTACAAGTAACCTCTGCTAGGTATACATTCGCTCTGAAGATATGCAAGTGAACCACAGTAGACCATAATGAACCATGTGCGCCATCCCTTTCCCAGTTGACAAGATGGTAAAAAAAAAGTGAAAGAAAAATGGCAATAAATGACCGACAGTATCCGCAATAAGAAAGTACACCTGTGGGCGGCGCTACCTCATGGCTCCTTGCATCAACTGCTGACGCAAAAGCATGATTTGATTCCGCTCCATTGGTGGCAAAGCATCAATAGCTGACTGTGGCATACTGAGCACCTGTTGTAGAAGTTCTTCTTGCGATGGAACCTGTTGCTGGGGTGCCGCCTGTGCTGCGGGTTGAGGGGCAAAAGGAGTATTGACCATTGGTGGCGTGGATATCTGACCAGGTACGGCTGAGAAGGGCTGAAAAGCCTGTGCCGCAGGGGGAGCCGAAGGAGCGGCCGCAGCAGTTGGTTGAGTCGCTTGCTCTACCACTGCTCCCAAAGTGCTGTAGTCGACGAGATTCATGAGTAACAGGGCCTGGAATATGGCATACGCCAGCTGCGGGGCCTGTCGCAGGAGCTCCGTCGCGCGGGCCGGATCGGTCATTGCCAAAGACTTCATTTGTGAAAGAACGTCAAGGAGCTGGTTCGGGGGTAAGGACGAAAGTGTTTGAGAGATAGCGTTTGGACAATCCAAGTGAGGCGGCACCTCGACACCGGGGGGAAGAGGGGGGAGCGGCGCAGATGGCTGCTGGCCGGGTTGAACATCCTGACTGGGCATCTGAGATGTCTGAGAGTAGTCAGGGGGCACCGAATCCTTCTCGTTGTTGTGAGGCCAGTCCACGCGGATCTTCCTGCCCATGATCTCGAAGTCGTTCAAGTTTCGGACCGCGGAGGCGGCGGCGTCTGCATCGGCGAAGTCTGCGAAGCCATAACCCTTTGGTTTCCCCGTCTCCGGGTTCATCATAAGACGGAATTTGGTAACTGTGCCGGCGGAGCTGAGGATGTCCTTAACCTGTTCCTCCGTAAGGTCTGAAATGAATTCGTTAGCGAGACTGGACAGCAGAGGCGAACGGAAGCGCACATACTATAAGGGATATTTCCCAGGAATACACTCTTCCCGGTCCTCTCTGGAGCCATTTTGTTGCGTTTATCGATTTCGAATGAGCTCTATTTCTGAAGGCAAGCTCTGAGCTGAGCGCGTGACGTGAGTTAATGGCAGGATCTGGAGGGCCAGGCGAGTAATGGTAGAACGCAAACGTAAATTAATTTACAGATATATCGCAGGATGTTCTAGAATAGTGAAATTTCATCAGATCAAAGCTCGAGATCTGCGTTGATGAATGAAGTATTGCAACAATGAAGAAAAGCCGCGAGCAGGACCAAACGCTTTGTCTTGTTTGAGCTGTCTGTCTCCAGGCGGTGGCCGAACTTTTGATCGAACCTCAAAGTGCCGGGTTCATCCACACCTCACTTTCTCCGACGTCAGCTTCGCATCTTTCAACCGCAATCATGGCCCGGAATCCTAAAGAACAGTGGGAGCGGCTTCAGGTAATTCTGCAGAACCGTGCAGGTAAAGGAGGGTTTGGTTTTGGAGGTGGATTTCCTGGAGGAGGTCGCGGCGGCTTCGGAGTATCTGGAGCTCTCATCGTGCTCGGTCTCGGTGGATGGGCTTTGTCGAACTCGCTCTTCAACGGTGAGGTTGCATTTCTTATCACGGATAATATGAAGTACAGAAGTGCTGACTTGTCATTCGCTCAACAGTTGATGGTGGTCACCGTGCCATCAAGTACTCGAGAATAGGCGGAGTCAAGAAAGAAATCTACAACGAAGGTACCGATGCCATTGCCTGATGCCATTCATAAGGCGAAATCATCTCACAAACCCCTTTGCCTACTTTAGGAACACATTTCCGAATTCCATGGATTGAAACACCGGTCATCTACGACGTGCGCGCGAAGCCACGGAACATCGCTTCCCTCACGGGTACCAAGGACTTGCAGATGGTGAACATCACCTGCCGTGTTCTATCAAGGCCTCGAGTAGATGCCCTTCCTCAGATCTACCGTACCCTCGGCACCGACTTTGATGAGCGCGTCCTTCCGTCCATCGTTAATGAGGTTCTCAAGAGCGTGGTTGCGCAATTCAACGCGAGCCAGCTGATTACACAGCGTGAGAATGTCGCGAGACTCGTTCGGGACAACCTTGCTCGCCGTGCGGCCCGATTTAACATTGCTCTAGACGATGTGTCTCTTACTGTACGAACCCTTTTGACTCGTACATCCCCGATTATTGCTTATATAACTAATCTGTTTCATTTCGGCTTTCTAGCACCTGACCTTCTCCCCCGAATTCACCGCCGCTGTCGAAGCCAAGCAAGTCGCTCAGCAGGAGGCCCAGCGCGCTGCCTTCCTCGTCGACAAGGCCCGCCAGGAGAAACAGGCCTTCATTGTCCGTGCCCAGGGTGAGGCCCGCTCTGCTGAGCTTATCGGTGACGCAATCAAGAAGAGCAAGAGCTACATCGAGCTCCGTAAGATCGAGAACGCGAGACAGATCGCCCAGATTCTGCACGAGAGCGGCGGAAAGAACAAGCTGTATCTTGACACCCAGGGTCTGGGTCTCAATGTCAACGCATCACGCGGAGACGAATCGAAGTAAATGCAAATGCTTGGGGACTCTCGGATCAGAATTACTGGCGCTATTGCAATCGCTCGGGTCGCGATCTAGGATGTGGAACATGTTACTGTATAAATAGTTGATCTTCAGGATTTCAGTGCAACCTGGCGAATTGTTTCTCTTCTCTACTGGTGCATCTTCTACGGCGATGGCCGTGGAGCCCTTCTCAGAATCCCTTGTAGAACCTATCCGCTGTTGACAGTAACCAATAGCCCACTAATCTTAGCAGCAGGTGCTGTTACCATCAACTGGAAATCGAGATCTTCACGTTAAAATATGTCTTTGTCGTCGATAACGCCTGTCCGCTCTTCTATCAAAGAGTGGATGGATAAGCAGTGCGGGGATGCGATAAAAGCGGTGGGCGGGACTCATTTTTTTCAATGTCGGAGGTCTGCACATATCTCTTTCTCAGCAAGAAGTAGAAATTACACTTGTTCAGGGTTCAGCCAATTGCATCCCCAGAAAACACACAGGTACGTATTCTGATCCAGGATTCTCCAGAGCTCAGACAAATTCTCCATCTGCCTCGTCGATTTCCATACCAGCGCATCTACAATCAGACAGCGAGAAAGCTACTGACTTCCAGATACAGAATGGCCGACCCCCTCGCAGACCTCGACTCCAATGTCGATCTCACCGTCCAAGAAATCCTTCTCGCCGCCTCGCAACACGACATCCCCAAGCTCCGCCGCCTCATCCGCTCCAACGACAAAGACGGCAACCCTGCTAACGTGAAGGACCCCGAGACGGGATTCTCGCCTCTCCACGCAGCGATCGCAGCTTGCGAGCCCGACGAGGCGCAAACAGAGACCAATGGCGTCAATGGAGAGACGAGCAGCGCTAGCACGGAGCAGAAGAGTCTCGTGCAGTCCGCCGCGGAGACGGTGAGGTTCCTGCTGCAGGAGGGCGCGATCTGGAATGACCTCGACCTGAACGACGAGACGCCGGGGTGTATCGCGCGGCGGTTGGGGCTGACCGAGCTGTATGAGATGATTGTGGATGCGGGTGTGCGGGCGGAGCTGCTTCTCAACCGGTTGGATGGGTACGAGGCGCTCTCTGATGACGAGGATGAAGAAACGGGACAAGGCGAGGACGCAGCCCACGAACCAGCTGCGGAAGAGGATCAGGATGAGGCCCCGGAGTTAGTCGAGACGACCACGGCCAACGCCAGCGCCGCCGAGGCAAGCACAGCAGGACCAGGACCAGGCCCAGACGTCACGAGCTCGCGCTACCTTGATTCGAACCTAACCTTCACCAACGACCGACTGCTCGACCAGGACCAGAACGGCGTGATGATGGCCTGGGAGACGGAGATCATGTCCCGATCCGCCAAGAAGCTGCTCCCCACTACAGGGCTGCGCGTCATGAACATTGGCCACGGCATGGGCATTGTCGACGGCTTCATCCAGGAGCAGTCGCCGGCCGCGCACCACATCGTCGAAGCGCACCCGGACGTCGTGGCGGAGATGAAGCGGAAAGGCTGGCACGAGAAGCCCGGCGTTGTGATCCATGAGGGTCGCTGGCAGGATATCCTGCCTGCGCTGGTGGCGCAGGGCGAGACCTTTGATGCGATCTACTACGACACCTTTGCTGAGTCGTATGCTGATTTCCGGGAGTTCTTCAGCGAGCAGGTTATTGGGTTGTTGGAGCAGGATGGCAAATGGGGGTTTTTCAATGGCATGGGGGCTGATCGGCAGATTAGCTACGATGTCTATCAGAAAGTGGTAGAGATGGATCTGTTTGAAGCCGGGTTTGATGTAGAGTGGGAAGAGATCAAGGTGCCCAAGCTCGGGGGAGAGTGGACTGGTGTCCGCAGACCGTACTGGGTGGTTGACAATTATCGCCTGCCCTTGTGTAAGTTTATGGATTAAGTGATATACCCTTGGATAATCAATAGATGGATATGATATACTAGTTGGACATCTCAATGACTCCTACTGCACTGGTTTTCTTCCTTAGCGGCAAGAGTCTATGCTTTCATATGCCAACCTCTGGTGGAGATTTTATATATTGCAAGCTACGTATCGGAGCCACAATGGTCGCCAGCTTGTATATTACACAAAAGTAAACTATATTCAAGCGACCGGTCTGGCAAGGAATGATCTTGAAGCGACTATGTACACTCTAACATCGTCTAGTTACATGTGATTGACCAAGTCTGGCCATGTCATCTTAGAATGCAAGGAAAACTCCGTGGTGATCAATGCGCACCGCTGATTCAAATGGGAAGAGGACATTCATAAAAGCGAAGAACGAGACGGGTTGAAGGAGAATGATCGCCAAAGAAGACTCCGATGTAAGCTTCTTGCGGACAGGAAATAATAGAAGAGAAAGGTATCTATAACTGAATGAGGTCGACTTCTGAGAAATCCGGCGGACTGCGGCTGAAGATGGTACGGCACTTGCCGTCCAGTGCCTGATACTCGTTACTGATCCAGATGTGCTTGCTGAACCGTTGAGTTCGGTAAATCTCATCATCGCTTACTCCAAGATCGTCTCGCGGAATCCATATCACAGGACGTTTTGCCCGTAGAGCGTCATGTTGAAACGCTCGCTGAGTCAGTTGATCACGCTCATCTGGTGTAAGATCCTCCAATTCATCATGAATACCGGCAAACAATGCGTGGCCGACGTTACCCGTAGGAGAGCCTTGGGCTTCGGCATCATGCGCGATCTTCTCACGGACTCGCTGCAATGTTGGCACTGAACCGCTCGAAGGAGTCCCAAAATATTTGGAACGTGTTTTTGAGGACCGATCTGCCCACGAATGATGGCGGCTGTTCTGGAGAGTCCCCGTCTGAGTCGATGCTCGCCGCCCAGAACACGCTTCGATGTTCTTCAGTTCAATCTCGTGGGCCCTCCTGTCTGCTTCGTGCTCTTGATGTTCCCGCTCTGCCAACTGGTGCTCGATCGTGTCTGTCTGATCTTCCTCAGGAAAGCCAAGTCGGGCGCGCTGAGCGCGGCTGAACTCCTCATCACGACGAACAGCATCATCCTCCAAGGTAATCGGCAAGTAACGGATTAGGGGGCTGAAAGCTTCGTTCAGAAGGATCTGGTACCCAATTGTGAGAATCAGGACCACGATCATGCATATTGCTTGCCCTTCGCAGGCAACGTTGCCGTCCACGTCACGGACCAAAAAGAACAGCCCGATCAAGCTGAGTTCCATGACATATAACCCCGTGAAGAGCTGGTTGATAGCGCGAGGGAATAGTAGTCCGCCAGTATCAAAGCGGAATTTGGTGACGTACAGCGTGTTATATCTGTACACGAACCAGAACAGGCCAAAGGTGATGATGTTGAAGACCAAGATCAAAGGGGAGATCACACAATAGATCAAACCTGTATTTCGCGCATTAGCTACATCAGAAGTAGTCCCTGTGGGGTTAAACATACCGATCGATGCGAGAGTAGTATAGACCGGGAAGAATGTTCCCCATTGCATCTGATTCAAGTTCGTCGTGCGTCCCCATTTCTTTCTTGCTGTGTTATCCAGTAAGGGTGCTAGAATAAACCAGCTGAACAAGCCAACGATCTGTACTAGAGCTCCCGCACTCACTGACAGCGCCTGTAGAATCATATACGAGAAGAAATAGTTGCTCGAGGAGGGAATGTTTTGCGCCAGTAATTCCGGCCAACTGGTGACGTTTGTGACGTTATCGATGATGGTCGAGAAACTGGACGAGATAGCAACGACCAGGAACAACTGGACGAACAAAAAAGCGAAGAAGTAGTTCTGAACGGTAAGCTCAATGGCCATGCCTGTGTGTAACCCCTGAGCTCGACAGAGGAAACGGAGAATCAGGGGCAGGAGCGCCATCAAGATGGCTAAGAAAAGTGGGGGCAAGATACCCTGGATGGCAGAGATGAGCCAGTCTGGCAGTTTGGAGATCCACGATAACCAAGTGAAGGCATTTTCCAGGTAAGACAATTGAGACAGCAAACCAGTAAACGCGACGGGGAACGCCCAGCCAACCACCATGGCGCAGACGATCGTGAGAATTCCGAATGTCCTCAGATAGCGCTCCCACCATTTGATTGACATGTTGTCCCAAATCACATCGTCCGGCGAGATCTCCACGATGCGAGGGGCCATTTGTTTTGGCAGGTGATGACTGACAGCCTGACAAGCCATATGAGCAGCCACCTGGTGGTTGAACTGTATGAACGCTGAATTCATGAGGGGAAATTTCTCGGGGTGTTGCTGGTCAATTTCAATCTCCAGATTTAAGCGAGCGACTTCTTTCCGGCAATAGTCTATTGTGTCGACCTTTTTGCCAATGAGCCAGAGGGAAGGCATCCAACTGATACCAAAGATCGGCAACCTCATGGTGTCACGATCCTTTTCCCGGATGTACTTTTTCCATAGGGGCTCTCCATAGTCTTCACTGTCAAAGTCTTCATTGTATGCCACCGGATATTCCTCACCTTCGACTTCGTCGCCTTCTCTCCGGCCTTTGAGCTCCTTGCCTTTTTGCTTTTCATCATTGTGCGATCTTTCTTCGTTTGAAGCTTCTCCTTCGACCGGATCCTCTGGAGCCGTGAGTGGAAACTCATCCGGTTCTGTCCTGTTGCTCGCTTTCGAATAGTTGCTAGAAACTCGACTTTTCCAGAAGGGCCGTCTTGGCTTGGAGTTCGATCTGCTACGAGGAGCATTGGATGGTGCGCCATTCTCATTCATAGACGCTGCATTTCCATTCTCAATTGATGGGGTGATGCTATCGTTGCTTGGTCGCCAAGGATCGGGCGGCTCTGCGTTATTTGTGTCGGCATTCGGTGCTCTATGTTGGAGAGGTGCGGTAGTCCCAGCGTCTGGTATATAGCCCCCTGACCGAGTCAGAGTGCCGTCGACGTCGCCCTCCACCCGTTTTAGGGTTCCCAGAACGGATCTGCCCAACTTGCCGACACCTTGACCGACCATCCCTACCGCTTCCACAGCTGGGTCGAAGGGCTTGCGTCTTTTAGGCTCTCCAGGTTCGGCACGATGCTTTCCATGAACATCGCGATGCAAAATCTGATTCAATGTGTGAGCTTGGTGCGGATCACCAGAGCTGATACCGCCGCCTGCAGCTAGTTGCAGCGCCTGCTCGTCGGTGGCCTGCTTCTGCTTCCCCTCTACCTCCTTGGCACTCAATCCGGTCTTCTTCGCTGCGGCCTTCGCCTGCTTCAATTGAGCTTTCTTGCATCTAATGATCAAGTCCGTCTCTGCAGACTCTAGCTTCAATGCTAGCGCATCACGTTGCTTCACCTTCTCGTTCAGATCGTCAAAATTGCGATTGATCCATATATTTCGGATTCCACCCGGGAAAACATCATACAGTGACTCCAAAGCCTCCACAGACAGCCAGCTGTCTGGGATGGCTGTTACCAGCACTGTTGTTGCAGAGGCTCGAAGTCGATGCTGTGGGGAAGTCAGGTAGGCCTGCCGAAGGCGAATATACCCTTTCAGCTCATCGAAGAATATTGCGCACACATAGACAATAACGATGACGGCCATAATCAGATGCGCCCAGTAGCGCTGGACGTGCTCTGGAGCCACATTACCCCAGGCCAACTGGTCAAGGCCAGTGACATTCCATGTGTCACCTGTCCCAGTTGCATTTTTGAAGTTTCGGTCTTTTCCATCGACTTTGTTCAGGGGCAATAGGACGGGCAACACAATGCAACCTAGCGGAAGGAAGATCTTGAGAAGCATTCGCAAGTATCGCAGAAAGAAGTAGGCATCCAGGCCACATTTCTGGATGAATTCGGAACTAGAGGTGCGAAAGACAGGGCCAATCCAGCTAATTAAACCCGGCGGGGACGGTTTTGTGCGCTCTCTGTCCGGGACCAAATACGTTCTAGGTTGACTATGGAGAAGCCCAATGTTAGTGGTAGTACCGATACGGACATTGTCAGGGATACTCACTAGATACGAGTGAGTTTGCCTTTGAGAAGCAAAAACAGCAAGAATTCAACAGCAAAGACTATCACTGCAGTTGCAAGCGAAGCCAAAAAGGTCTGAATGTTGACACCTTCACTCCTTTGACCGTTCCCACCCGCATGCTCCAGGGCCTGCCCAAGATCGGTCGCCATCTCTGCGAGCAATGGCGCTCATGCACTGTAGTCGATTTTTCGGCGACGCTCAGAAAAAATGATCTGCAGTGTTCACAATGATGTCGTCGAGAAAAGATCAATTGAGATTGAGGGAGCATTCGTTAGAAGAGCGCACGTCGAAGTCATAAGATTAGAGAGAATAATGCACCGCTCATGGATGCAAGGAGAAAGAGTCCATCACTGCAAACTCATTGTCAACGATCATTCAGCAGACCGGGCAGATGTGAAACATCCCGCAAATAAAGAGACCAGATCCTTATATAAAGAATAGAGTACATACAGGGAGGCAATAACGAGTGAACATGCAACAAACAAGGTCTTGACAAGCTGCTATGCGCCAAGGGCACAGATAAAATAATGACAACAGTGGCACCAAGAGCTTCCTGATTCGACCGATTTCACCGTCTAAATTAACGCTAGCCCAGGGAGCTGACAATGCGATCATTTGTGGAACTTCGCTGGGGATGGTCGATCACTACTCCCTAGGTAAGTTAGTTCATGGGACTAAAATGACATCAAGCGCCTCCTAAAACCAAAGATGAATGCAACGGCGCTTCCTGAACAATAGGTCCACTAATGAGGGGTACTACTGTTTCGTACTCTACAGACATTTCTGAAGGATTGGTCAGAAAGCGCCCGATTATTGATCCTGCTTAGATACTCGTATCTATTTTCGCTAATGATCTAGGTAGAGATCTCTTACAGAGTGTTGTTCATCTCCCCACTGAGTGTAGATACTTGAGGCATTCTTGAGGGTCGATTGATTGTTCCTTCCTTTGTTGCACTTCTTGCACTTCCTAACTTGATCGGGATATGCAGCTTCCAAGTAAGGCAAGGATTCATTGTTCCCCTTTCTCGCGATCGTATTTGATTGGCTGCCCTTATTATGTGGAGTGACGTCGTTCCCATGGGTCTGAGTGCCCGATTCATAGCACAGCCACAATGCACAAGCCGCTGAAGTGTTTTAATCACGTGATGTGGCTTGACCTTCGCGTTGTCCCAATTAGGAAACCTCTTTACGCGTGTTCGCGTAGCAACGCGTCGGACGGATAATCCAACCATGAAAAGAAATTCCCTTGAGAGAGAATCTGCAACAGCAATTGACCCTCCCATCAATACAGACCAGCACCTCGACCCGCCAACGATACCATTTTTCCTATACCGTCGGTCCCTTGAACATTAACTGCTACAGAGGAAATCCCTGATATCAGGACCGACACAACATGTCTTCTCCAGCTTCTTCTCGCCGTAGGGGCCGTCCGGCCAAGGATACGGCAACCTCTTCTCCTGCGCGGTCAACCCGTTCTCGTCAGCTCCAGACCAGCAGTCCGACTCCAAGGGCGGCAGATGAACAGTCACAGGCGACGCCTCGTGCTTCAAGGCGATTGAGAGGTGAAGCGGCAGTTCCCTCGTCATCGCCCATGTTCTTCCAGTCCTCCCCTTCAAAGGCAGACAGCAGTGCGGAAACACCAGATGTTCGAATGGACGAGCCCAGTTCACCAATGAGAGCATCTTCTACTGTGGATGAAGGAGACAGGACACCTAGAGGAAATGCTCCTACCATGAGAGGTATTGTTGGCATTATCTTGGCAACGATCTACATATACTGACTGCTCAGCAGACTCCTCCCCCATCCGGTACATGTCCAGCTCCAGTCCAACTCGAGCTCAGAATCGCCAGTCACGGCGTTCCGACATTCCCAGCAGCAGCAGTGGATTATTCGTCTCATCCAGACCCGGCATCGATAGCAACCGTGCCTTGTCCCGCCGTAGCGACCTTCATTCTGGTGGTTTTCTTTCTAGCCCGAACCGCCGCCGCAGAGTTTTCGTCGATGCTAATGGTATGCCTGCGGCCGATGGCGATCCACGTTCCGATGCCACCTTCTCGAATATCCACCCAGACACCTCTGAGGCCGAGGCCTTGGGCGGTAGCTCAACCCGTGTGATTTGGGGTACCAACATCTCCATCCAGGATTCCATGTCCGCATTCAAGAACTTTCTCTACAACTTCCAAACAAAATACCGTCTGTGGGCAGAGGGTGCAACCGAGGATGAGACACGTATAATGGGTGAGTCCGCGGAGGAACGGGAATACATCAGCATGTTGAGCACCATGCGGCAACTTGGAGTGACCAGCTTGAACTTGGATGCGAAGAACCTGAAGGCATACCCATCGACACTCAAGCTATGGCATCAGTTGCATGCTTATCCTCAAGAGATCATTCCATTGATGGATCAGACAGTGAAGGATGTGATGGTGGAGCTTGCGATCAAGGAGATGGAGCGCCTGCGGGCTCAGAATCAACGCAACCAGAATCATAACAGAGGCCTGAGCTCTGGTCCTGCTGTCCCCAGCTCTGACGCGCTGAGTGAAACCGGTAGAATGCCACAGAACGAGATCCCCGACCTTGTCGGTGAAGTGGAAACCAAGGCATTCAAAGTTCTGCCTTTTGGTCTCGACTCGACCGTGAACATGAGAGACCTCGATCCTGCAGGTATGGAAAAGGATTTATATATATATATATATATTTTTTTTTTTTTTTTTTTTTTTTTTTTTTTGCTTCTCGTCTAACTTTTCTTTAGACATGGATAAACTAGTAAGCATCAAGGGCTTGGTCATTCGAACGACACCCATCATTCCTGATATGAAAGAAGGTACGATAGTTCTTCTTGGTATCCTTCTGATCAGATTATCGTAACTGACTCATCTTTCCAGCTTTCTTCCGTTGTCAAGTCTGCAACCATGGTGTTCAGGTCGACATTGATCGTGGAAAGATCGCGGAACCCACCGAGTGCCCACGTCCAGTGTGTAAGGAACGGAACTCGATGCAACTCATCCATAACCGCTGTGTATTTGCCGACAAGCAGGTCATCAAGTTGCAGGAAACACCTGACAGCATTCCTGATGGCCAGACTCCTCACTCGGTTTCGCTTTGTGTGTATGATGAGCTGGTGGATGTCTGCAAGGCTGGTGATCGGGTCGAAGTGACCGGTATTTTCCGGTGCAACCCTGTGCGGATCAATCCTCGCCAGCGTACACAGAAGTCTCTGTTCAAGACGTACATAGATGTTCTTCATGTTCAGAAGATCGATCGCAAGAAGTTGGGTATCGACGTCTCGACCGTCGAGCAGGAGCTCTCGGAACAGGCGGCTGGTGATGCAGAACAGACACGCAGGCTCACTGCGGAGGAGGAAGAGAAGATTAAGCGAACTGCTACCAGACCTGATCTGTATGAGCTTCTCTCTCGGTCCTTGGCCCCCAGCATCTATGAGATGGACGACGTGAAGAAGGGAATCCTGCTCCAGTTGTTCGGAGGCACCAACAAGACCTTCCAGAAGGGTGGTAACCCACGATACCGTGGAGATATCAATGTCCTTCTCTGTGGTGACCCATCCACATCCAAGTCCCAGCTTCTTCGTTATGTCCACAAGATTGCCCCTCGCGGTGTGTATACCAGCGGCAAGGGCTCTTCGGCTGTCGGTCTTACGGCGTACGTCACCCGCGATCCTGAAACCCGCCAGATGGTCCTCGAGTCGGGTGCCTTGGTTCTTTCAGACGGCGGTATCTGTTGCATCGACGAGTTCGACAAGATGAACGAATCCACTCGGTCCGTCCTGCACGAAGTCATGGAACAACAGACAGTGTCTATCGCCAAGGCAGGCATTATCACTACTTTGAACGCTAGGACCAGCATCCTGGCTTCCGCCAATCCGATCGGTAGCAGGTACAATCCCAACTTGCCCGTTCCTCAAAATATTGACCTTCCGCCTACCTTGCTGTCCCGATTCGACTTGGTATACCTCGTGCTGGACCGAGTGGATGAGCAGGAAGATCGTCGGCTCGCTAAGCATCTTGTCAATATGTACCTAGAAGACAGACCTGAGAATGCTGCCGAGGAAGAGATCTTGGTAAGTGCTTTTCCGGCCACCTGACAGGCGTTCGAGCCATCGACTGACCCATTTGATTTACTGCAGCCGATTGAATTCCTTACAGCCTATATCACCTACGCCAAGACCAAAGTCCATCCAGTGCTCACTCCGGCCGCCGGTAAAGCCTTGTCGGATGCTTACGTTAACATGCGTAAGCTTGGAGATGACATCCGGTCTTCTGACCGCCGTATCACCGCTACCACTCGTCAACTGGAGTCTATGATCCGACTGTCGGAAGCGCATGCGCGTATGCGGCTGTCGCCGGAGGTCACTGCGGATGATGTGGAGGAAGCGGTGCGCCTGATCCGCTCCGCCATCAAGCAGGCGGCCACTGACTCTCGGACCGGTCTGATCGACATGAGCTTGTTGACGGAGGGCACTAGTGCCAGCGAGAGACGCAGCCGGGAAGCACTTAAGCGCGCCTTGCTGTCTGTGGTGGATGATCTGTGCAGCGGCGGCGGTGCAGCTCGCTGGGCCGAGGCCTTCAAGGTCTTAAGTGAGAACAGCAGCACTGAGGTGGATGGAGCTCAGTTTGCGGATGCGGTTCGAGCGCTGGAGACTGAGGGAGTTGTGAGTGTTGTCGGCGAGGGTGCGCGGAGGAGTATCCGGCGCATTGGCGGCGCCCTTCTGTAGACCAGCTCTCTCAAAGGATGGGATGATGAGACATGATGGAATGGTCTTCTACAAATAATTTTTACTGGTATCTACTTGATTTGACTGCATGTTTTCGGGTTGTCTGGCGATGGATGGTGTTGGGTGTTTTGGGCTGTTACTGTGGCATAATATGGTTTACTTTGCACATGAATACCTATTCTCCAACTTTAGGTCTGATTAACCTAATCAGCGCCTTTATAGATTCAGTGTACATGGATGGTGCAGTAATCGGTCTGCTGTAGACTGTCTACCTCTCTATCGTATATTTGATGCTCGCGATTGAAGGCCTGTGGATGAATAGAGAAGTACCCTGTATTGGGCCATACGCTCCGTAATGACACTAGCCCAGATGCGGTAATATGTCCTCCAGGGTGGTCCCTCACTAGCAGCGCACATGTTGCAACAGAAGAAAGTGAGAGGCCAGACTGCGACAGTGAGACTTCCTCGGGACCCATAAATCAGGCTATACTAGCGTGCAACAATTGGTTGTCAGTCCGCTTACTGCCCGAGCAAATAATCGTAATTAATCCCAAGGTTCTTGAAGAAATCCACTAAGAGACGCAGTATGTGATATTTCACTGCAGGCAAAAATAATCATAAGCTGGCAGAGCTGCAGAGCATGCATTAGGTAGACCAACTTCAATAGATTTTAATATCAGAGACTCGTAGTTATAATACACCACGATGGAGGTTGGGACTTGAGGAAACAGGCTTGGCATATTATGGAGCTGGAAGAAGCCCGTGGGGTGGGCTGGAACTAGGACTTAGCTAGTGCTGGTTACTGGTCAGGTCTCTTGGAACAACTGAGTCTGGACGTCAAGCTAGATACCACCGCCGCAGTTCTCTCGCAATTTACCCGCTATCGTTCACCACTTGGGTATTATAGTAGCCCATCGATCAATCTCTATCAACTGAAGCTCAATTTCTTTTCTTTTCGTCCCTCTTCCTGCTACGATTTTTTTTCTGCGTCCGGGAATGCGGACCATCTCCCGCTCTTGTCTGAACCGCCATCCCACCACTATCTCAACTCAATTCAACCTCATTGTCTCGACCTAGCTCAGTAGCACAACGCCATCCGTGCTACTCGCCCATCATGAAGTAAGTGACTTTCTCGTCGATCAATGCTCTCGGGCCGTCATTGACTGACCGTCCCCGCCTTCCTCAAGGTTCGGAGAACATCTCCGATCGTCCATGATCAAGGAGTACTACTGGTACTACATCGCCTACGAAGACCTCAAGAAAGCCCTCAAGACCGGCTACGTCAGCGAACCTACCCCCGAAAACCCCAAACCCGATCGCAAGCCATGGACAGAAGACCACGAGAAGCGCTTCGTGTCGCTGCTGGAGAGCGAGCTGGACAAGGTCTTTAATTTCCAGAAGCTCAAGAGCGAGGACATCGTGCGGCGCATCCAGGCCAGCGAGAAGGATGTGGCGGATGTTGTCTCGCGGCTGGATAATGCGAATAATGCGAGGAGGCAGAGTCTGCGGGCATCGCAGCCGCCGCCCTCGGATGAGGATTTCCTGCTGCTGGAGCAGGTGCTGAGTGACATCATTGCCGATGTGCATGATCTCGCCAAGTTTACGCAACTGAATTATACAGGGTTCCAGAAGATTATCAAGAAGCATGATGTACGCTCTGCATCTGCAGCTTTTCTGAATCTTTGGTGCAACTTTCAAGAGGCTAATGTTTGTGTTAGAAACAAACGGGGTGGCATCTCAAGCCGGTTTTTGCCGCCCGACTCAAAGCCAAGCCCTTCTTCAAGGACAACTACGATGCATTCGTGGTGAAGCTCTCCAAGCTCTACGATCTGGTCCGCACAAAAGGTAACCCCGTCAAGGGAGATTCCGCGGCTGGAGGCTCGCAGCAGAACTTTGTCCGCCAGACCACTAAATATTGGGTTCATCCCGACAATATCACCGAATTGAAGCTGATCATTCTCAAGGTATGCAAAGCTTCATCTTTATGCGTATCTCGTCAAACTAACTATGACAGCACCTTCCTGTCCTTGTCTTCAATCCCAACAAGGAGTTTGAAGAAAAAGATGCCGCCATTTCATCCATCTATTTTGACAACACCGACACATGGGAGCTATACGAGGGTCGTCTGAAAAAGACTGAAGGAGCAGAGGCCATTCGGCTTCGTTGGTATGGCGGAATGGAAAGCGATCAGATCTTCGTCGAGCGAAAGACTCATCGTGAAGACTGGACGGGTGAGAAGTCGGTCAAGGCGCGTTTCTCGCTCAAGGAAAAACATGTCAACGCCTATCTGTCAGGTCGCATGACGGTCGAGAGCATTTTTGAGAAGATGCGCAAAGAAGGAAAGAAGAGCGAACAGGAAATCGCCGACTTGGAACAGTTGGCGCGCGAAATCCAGTACCGGGTCATCACACGTCGGCTGGAACCTGTTACTCGGACCTTCTACCATCGCACAGCTTTCCAGCTTCCGGGTGATGCCCGAGTACGAATCTCTCTGGATACAGAGCTGACCATGACACGAGAGGATAACTTGGATGGCCGGCAGCGCTCAGGCAACAACTGGCGCCGAATGGACATAGGTGTGGACTGGCCTTTCTCGCAATTGCCGCCCGAGGATGTTGAGCGGTTCCCTTATGCGGTGCTGGAAGTCAAGCTGCAAACGCAAGCTGGTCAGGAGCCGCCCAAGTGGATCCGAGAGTTGACCGCCAGTCACCTGGTCGAAGCGGTCCCGAAATTCAGCAAGTTCATCCACGGAACTGCCACGTTGTTCCCCGATCGCATCAACCTTCTTCCCTTCTGGATGCCACAGATGGACGTAGACATCAGGAAGCCCGCGACGCGTCGATTCGGTATCACCCGGCCGCTGGCCAGCACGTCTCTTTCCGCAAATGAAACGCCAGAAGACGACGAGTCGGACGAGGACGAGTCGGACGAGGCCCAGGCGCGTGCGAGGGCTGCTGCCCGCGGTGCACAGCACTCAGTGGTCGACCAGAGTGACCTGTTCGAAGAGGACGACGGGAATGCTCTGGACATCGAAGAGCGCATCGCCGCCCAGCCGCTCCCCGGCGACGAAGATTATCCATTGTATGATTCGGACGAGGAGTCCAATTACTCGGACGAACTAGAAGAAGCGCGAAGGATCGGGGGCGGCTACTACTACCAGAAGCTGGTCGAGTACTACATTCATCGTATGGGCCACGCACTGATCAATGGGCTCAAGGCCATTGCGCCTGGGCCGCGGCCCACAAACATGCCCGAACCCGAACAGAACGGCATCGCCGTCATGGGCAACAAACGGACGATCAAGCGATTCGTCGCTCCAAAGGGTAAACGTAAGTATCCTTGGATCCTTCCTGTCACGCCAAGTCTCACTCACGCATACAGGCATCCACGTCCCCGTCCGCGTCGAACCCAAGGTCTACTTCGCCGCCGAGCGAACCTTCCTCTCCTGGCTCGAATTCTCCATCCTCCTCGGCACCATCGCTGCGACTCTGCTCAACTTCGGCAACGACTACATCACCTTCGCCTCCTCGTGGGCGTTTACCATCCTCGCCGCAGTGGCCCTCGTCTACAGTCTCATGCTGTATATCTGGCGTGTCGACAAGATCCGCAAGCGCCGCGACGTCAAACGAGTCTACTATGAGAAATGGGGCCCTACAGTCGTCGGAATCGGTCTGGTGGTTGTTATGCTGGTGAACTTTGGTCTGAGAGTCCGTCAGACCGGCTTTGCCTCTCGCGACGCAGACCAGGGCTTTGGTCATGGTCGGGGATCAGCCGGCGGAGAATTGTAGACTGGCTTCTTCGCTCTAGTGTACGATTGTTATGCTTGTACATTGAGTAGTAACTGTCCGTCCTTTGTTTGTTGTAGTATATCCGTGATTACGAACTGGACTCGACGAATGGAAATGGAATGGATAAAAGTGTGCTTGGTAGGTGCTACCTGAAGTAAGCTATACAGTATCTACCAGGTTAAGGTACATTCCTCTAGTTATAATTCACAACCGGGACAACGGTGTCCTCCAGGCTGACCGCGTCGGGGTTACTCTTCTCTACGCCGGAGTACTTGTTAATCCAGCCGAGGGCCTGCTGGTGCCACACGAGGCTGTTCTCGGGGTTGACAACCCTGCACATCATTAGCCAACTCCACATGACATGCCTATAGGCAGGCAAAACTCACCAATGATTCTCATCCGGGAAGTTCAAGAACCGACTCGGCACGCCGCGCTCCTGCAGCACGTTGAAGAGCGAGAGACCCTCCGCGACGGGGAGCCGGTAGTCCTTGTCGCTGTGGATGACAAGCATGGGGGTCGCGAACTGGAGGATCCGCTCGGGCGCGGATGGGTCCCAGCGGCGGTAGTTCTCGCGGGCGTCCCAGAAGGTTCCGTTGAACTTCAGACAGTTAGAATTTGCTTTGGAATAAAGGGACGGTGTGGGAGGGGGCTACCTCGTGCTCCATGAACCACAGCTCTTCAGTTGACACCTTCGCGTCCGCGACAAAGGTGCCGTCGTGGCTGACCAGGGCCTTGAATTTCCGGCCCAGAGGGCTACCTTGGATCCAGTTGATCATGAAACCGCCGTAGCTGGCGCCTGCGGCGACGCCGTGGTCGGTGTCGACGTAGTCGAGGTTCTCGTGGATGTATTCCCAGCATTTGACGAGGTCGTCGTAGGGGGCTCCGCCTGTTCCTCGTTAGATTTGCTTGTCACCAGGTAGAAAGGGGGGCAGTGGGTGCTTACCCCAGTTGTTCTGGATGGCGTCCGTGAGAGCTTGGCCGAATCCAGTACTGCCTGTTGGGTTGGGTGCAACCACAACATAGCCCTGGTCGGCCCATGCCTTGGGGTTCCATCTCGTGCTCCAGCCATCGGCCCAATTGCCTTGGGGTCCACCGTGGATGAAGAAGATCAGGGGGTACTTCTTTGACTTGTCGAAGTTCTCAGGGTAGATGACCCAGGCGTGAATCTGTGTTTTTGTAAGTAATGAGGTTTACAGGCTAAAAGGGAGAACGCACGTCGGTGAAGTTGCCCTGGTAGTAGAACTCGCTAATGTCAGAAGGACCAAGTCCCTTGAGCTCGGGATCGATCTCGTTGGCGGAGGCAATAGTCTTGATCACACCCTTCTCCGGTTTAGCAGTGTAGACGTTCCAGTTTGTCCAGAGGGCGCTGCCAGTTACCAGCAGACTGGAGTCGGGCAGGAAGTAGTACGCGGACACCGAGCCACCATCGGTAAAGTTCTTTGGCTTGTAGTCATCCTTTGCGTTGGCGGGGAGAGAGAAGAGTCTCGTGCGGCCCAGGTCTTCACTCCCGACGATCAGCGTCTTGCCGTCGGGTGTCCACTTGACGCTGTCGGGGGAGCGATCCCAGTCTCCTGCGACACTGGGAATGGTCTTCTTCGAGCCGAGAGAGTAGACGTACAGGACGCGACGATCGGATTCGTACGACTCGTCTCTCATCTGGAAGTAGGCGAGTTTGTCGCTCTTGGGGGAGAACACGGGGCTGCTTGAATCACCCTTGATACCCTTAGGGGTGCCGGGGCTGTCGGGGCCATTGATGGGACGGGCTGTTTCCGAGGCATCGTGGGGGACGAGGTAGATGTAGGATGTGGTGAAATTGGCCTTGGGAAGCTCAGGAGCCTTGCTCTTGAAAGCGACCCACTTGCCATCGGGGGAGAGGTCATAGTCGGACGCACCGCCGAACGGTGGGTAGGGGCTCTCGGCATTCTTGACGGGAGAAACAAGGTTCTTGAGTTCACCGTCCAAGCTGTAGCCATTCTTTCCATGGCCCTTCTTCAGAGTGCCGGAGAAGACTGCGTTGAAGGTGGTGCTGAGCCAGTAATCCCAGTGGCGCACGTAGATGCTATCGTAGATGCGCGCGGAGCTCAGAGGAGCGGCAGCAAGCTCTTCATTGTACGCAGTTCCATTGGGATACGATTGGCCATATGCTACTAAACGAATGTCGCCAGACTTGGTCTTGGCGGTCTTCAAACCTGAGAAGGAGGCCGGCAGAGAGGCTGCCTTGTATCTATGCGAGGTCGGTTAGATAGTCTTTGGAATGATGTGACAGGAAGGCGTATATACCCGTTGCCAAAGCTCGAGGCTTGAGTCACCCACAGCTCAACACCACCCGGGATGTCTGCATTGGTGCCATTGACATAGAGAATCGAATCGTCGGACAACCAGACAATCTCGGACACACTGCTGTCATTGGTGAGGACCTTGGACTGACCAGTCTTCAGGTCCAACAGACTCCACCACGAGGTCCGTTTGTGTGTCTCAAATGAGTACTGCGACGTCGAAAAGACCGCAACTTTCTATGATCCTGTCAGCCAATATCTTTATACGACCAGCGATTGTGGACTCGGGCTTACACCAGATGGGTCAGGAATAGCTTCAGACCTCCGTGGAGCAGTGATTAACTGCCTGTAGATCAATTGTTCATTAGAATCACTGCCCGAAGCTGTAGCCTTGAAGTGTAAACAATCTCACTCACTCAGGCGTAAGAGCCAATGCGGTCGATGCCGCAGCGGCAATAGAGAGCCAGCGGAAAGCTCCCATGATGGACTCGGATCTCAATCAAACAAAGAATCCTTTTCTTGAGAGATGGACCAGAATCCGAGCTGGGTGCTGACAATGAGCGATTTATGTATTCCCTTGCTTGCCCCGGCCACCTCCGCACTTTGCCCTGCATCGGACAATCATAATAATAATAAGCTGTAATCAAAATCAGTCATCAACAAATTAACACTAATTTCCCCCAGCATTGGCCATGCGAGCATCCATGTCCCTTTGTCCATGATCCCTGAGGACCTGCCTGATAAGGGTAGAGGCTATTATCACCACTAAACTGCTCTCAGCAATGATAAACGCATTACATCCATGGACGCTCGTATGGAGCCCATTCGCCACGCCATGAATGGGCCTAGGACAGCTTAGCCTGCTCAGTGAGGGCGGAGAGCGCAGGAAGTCAGGGCCGTCTTGGACGCTGTCTCGGTCCCCACAGTCTTGGGTTACAATGCCAAGCATCGTCGAAGCATTTGGACGCGAGATGGCGCCATTTGTTGACAAAGGTCCTGATATTGTGCATCAACCTGCAGGTTGTCAGCAACTAGTAGGCTGGGCTTCTGTTAGCTTTGCCGATGATAGCCATTCCATGATGACATTAGAGCAATATCGTCACTCTAATCGTCAATGAATAACCGGCTGAGTTCCCGTCTTATTGACGGGGAGACCAACCCGAGCTAGCACGAGTGTGGGTTTGGCTCTTTGTCTCTGCGACTGAGACAGCGATTGGACCAGGAATCTAATGATCCAAAAGGATGCCTCGGTTCTTGATGGTCTTGGTTTGCCCAAGGTGGATATCGAGATAAATTGGTCTCTGATGATGGTTGGTTGATAAAGTCGATGGGGATAGAATCATAACAGAGAAGGTAGAAAGTCCGACGGGAGCCCACTCGCCAAGACATTTTGATGATGACCAGCCACGCTCGGCCTCATTTTTGCCGGTACCTATCTCTCTACCACTGATAACATTGGCCTGTGGTCTGCTGGTCATTGGCTACTTTCGCATAGAGTAAGACAGTGAGAAGATAGCTGTACGGGTTGCTGTAGGGAGGAGTTCAGCGGATTACAGAATAATTGCGCATAATGCAATAGAGCCACTAATGGCTACTTCATTGACTGTCCTACAAGAGATACAAACTCCGTTCAATACTCAAAGTCATCATCCACACCTCCTTTGCCGGTGTTTTCTTTCAGGACGGCCTCTTGCTTGCGATACATCTCTGCCACGGCTCTCGTGGTCGTCGCCTGCTCAGGCTTCTTGTCGTCGCGTGATTTGATGAACCGTGGGAAGCGAAGAGAAACGCCCTTTCCACCACCCGTGGTTCCCACGAATTCATCGGCGGCAGCCTTATATCGAGGACTCAGGGTCAGATCCGCTGTCTTCACCTCCCAGACCAACCGTGGTTCAAACCACACGTCGGGTTGATCCTTGGGAACATTGGAATGCGAGTAGAATGGTTTGGGCCGGTCTATCGTTAAAGGCGAGAGTTCTTTATAGAGCTCTTCCAGAAGCGCTTCTGAGAACCCTGTGCCAATGTTGCAGATCGTCTCGTAAGTCTGTGTGCTTGAATTGTATGCAGCCAGCAGGAAAGCTCCGTAGACAGAGGTCCGCTTGCCCCGGCCATGGTAAGCACCAAGCACAACGAGGTCAAGGGAGTCTCCAACGCCTGCAAGGTAGTCTTTCTTGACCTGATAGATGTCAGCCGGGTCACAAGCAGGATAGAAGTAGGCATAACGAAGAATACCTTTAGCCAATTCCGACTTCGTTTACTGGGCTCGTAACCACTCTCTTCCGTATCCAACATCTTCACCATCAGCCCTTCACATGACGCTTTGACACTCTCGTCCAGCAGATTCTGGATCTCTTCCAGATCATTCGTGTCGCCATGCTGAGCGAATTGAAATTCGCCCTCGACGACCTCGAATGAGCTGTGCAGAAGCTCGCGACGTTCGCGTAACGTCTTCTTGACAGTAGGCTAACCGCAAGTCAGTCTTGAAGATTGATACAGATAAACTACGGGGAGCTCACTTCGCCATTCAAAAACAAAAGGTCAAATGCAAAAATGCAAACTTTGACCTTGACATCCTCTGCTTTGACATCCTTCCGCTTACGAGTCATAAGCTGTTGGAATGGTAGAACCTTCTTGTTCACTGTGTCCCAAGCCACCGTCTCACAGTCCAAGACAAAGCTCTTCACTCCGTCCTTGACCCAAGTCTCGAGTTTGGCCAGCACATCAGGATACTTCTTTGACAGGTCTTCCGAGTTTCGTGAAAAGATCGCACTGAGACCCTTGGAATCCTTTTGCAGGGTAGCTTTTGCCCCGGGGTAGTGGTGAACGACATCGGGCGCGACGTAATGGATCTGAGCTCGTTCGCCATCATACTTGTACTCGCAGGTGAAATCCTTTCCTTCAAATCGGTTCAGCACCTCGGTGATAGACTTTGTAGGTTTGGCAAGCATGGGCTTGATCGGAATTCCCGGTTGGAGCTTGCAAACCTTGGGTAAGTTGAACAGGCCATGCTCGAGCATTGCAGGGATGATGACTTCGTAAGCGGGTAGCTCACTGTATACCGTCTTAAGGACAGCTTCACCCTGCGCCATCTTCTCGGGAGAAGGTGTCTTTTCGCCTCTGACAGCAGCCTCATGGGCCACCACCGCTTGAGCAAGAGCCACGAGGACTGTCTTTTCTGCCAAGCCAAGTCTCAACTTGCCCTCCAAAAATCGGACGATGAACTTGGCTTCGCTGGCGCCTCCTTTATCCTTTGTAATGTCGACACCCTTGCCCCCTTTGCCTGCCGTTGCCGCATCGGCCGCAGACAGAAGCTTCTTGATCGCGGAGATCTTCTTATCTTGAGACCCCTGGCCCTGAATTTTGGCAATAGCGATCAGACCTTCATGCACCCCTCTGACGGTCAAGGGCTTGGGTTTGAACATGGTGGGCTGGTTTGATCGACTCTTGGCAGCTACCAGGCCCAAATCGCCAATCTCATGTTGATCTGCTTTGATCACAGCCAAACTACGCCCTGTACTTTCGCCGATTGCCTTCATGATGAACGATTCGCCGATACCCAACTCTATTCCGGCATAGTCAGCGGCTAATTTGTTGATCATCAGTTGAACCGTTGGAAGAAGATCTTGTGGCGTCAAACGGAGGACTTGGCGGAGGAAAAGAGAGCAATGGGCCAAAATGATCAGTCGCTTCGTTGTCATCTCGATAAGAGAAAATGTCGTGCAGAGAGCTGCGTAGGGAACGGGTTCACCAGGTTTCCAGTCAGGATACGGTTCCGTGCCGGTCGCTTTTAACGTGGCCTGCACCTTTTCCATCGTCTTCTTCATCATTTCGGGCTTCTCGTCTTCTTCTTCCTCTTCGCTAGCGGTCGCGACCTCTTCTTCTTCCGAATGCTCCGCTTCTTTCTCTGGTGTTTCCTCGCCGGATGCCTTCTTCAAGATGGCAGGTGGTGAGCTTTCCTTGGCCTCGGCCTTGCCAATTTTAGAGCTCTTTGGTGACGGCGACTTTCTTCGTATGGCGGGAGCCGCTTCGGCCCCTCGTGAGCTCTTCCGGCGTCTTTTCTGTACTGGTTGAACATCCGAGTCACTTTCCTCGTCGCTGCTCTTTTCCCGTTTAAGAGACTTGGAGCCTGGAGAACCGTTCGTATGAGCCACCTCTGTCTCCGACAAATCCTCCATTTTTACATCTTCGCTATTTGTCGGCTCCGACTTCGCTTCAGCGATGCCGGAAGATTCCTCAGCTTTCGCTTGTTCGTCGACAACATCGCTCTTCTTATCTTTCTTGTTCGAAAATGACAAAGTCGTTTGCTTTTTTGGTGCGGTCTTCGGCCCCTCTGCATTGGAGCCGAAGAATCGCCTGTGGTGCAACCATATTCGTCAGCACAATCAAGTTGCGTAAGAATTCGCCATGCAGAGTAATCGGTCCATCTAAACAACGCACCCGAGGGTCAATTGAGAGTCTCGAACATACCCCAACGTAGCTTGTTTCCTACCCTTAGAATCTGCCATTGTAGGTAGCGCAGTAATGGCAAAAGAGCGATGAGTTATGGAAATGACCGGACGAGTGGCCCCAGACAAGAACAGGGGTCTGCTGTAACCAGTGAATGTCCGCAATGAAGTGCGATGTGAAACTCTAGCTTTTGGGGTAAAGGCGACAGGTCCGCGGCAATAATGCGATACAGGCGCAATGGATGCGGAGATGCGGAGACTGGTCATAGGTGTCGCAGCGACACTTTCAAAGTCCTGCACAATTTGACATCAAGTAATTTCAAAAGCAAAATAACATACAACCATGGAGCTCAAAGTCCATTAAATAGGCCCCATTATGCCTTGCGGACTTGATTGTACAATTAAGGCAGCAACCTCTGCCGGCAGCAGGCAGCCTTTCGCAGGAACGCGACGTGTAGTGACGCGAGACTAGTAGAGATCACGTGCTCTATAGTAATGCAACACCACGAAGCTTACATCGCAATAAGAGAGTTTCAATGGTCAAACGATGACTACAAATGATGACACTATCGCATCAATAAATATTACTCCAGAATTCAGACGTTCTGCTATGCGTCTTTTGATCGAACTCGGTCATGTTCATCGTGCTGCGAGGCAAACATTGCAACTATATCATACACACCGCCTGTGAAGTAGCGGCAGAAAATGCGGGCAGAAGGCGGAGAAGCAAGGAAACAGAGGTACAAGAAGCATACACTCATTCTCATAGCCCAGCAACTCACTCGAAATTCTCTATATTTATCTGCTGCGTGAGGAGCAAACGGCTTCATATTCTCTGTCTCTTCTATATATACTGCGACAAATTGGATGGCTTAGACGCTATTCAAACTTTGTCAATCGGCTTGGAGCTGTAGCTGGGCCTGATGGAGACCCAGCGGCAGGAGTCTTTTAAGAAGGTGACCAGCTTTTAGGATGATACATGATAGAATGCTAATCCCTTTTCATAGCTGCGTGCTCCCTGTGTTGAGCTGAGCTCAGTCGGTCTTGCCTTCCGTGGACGTCAGAAAACCCCCAACGATGTTTTCCAAGCCCTCAGTCCGGTCTACAACGTCCTCACTCAACTTGCCGATCAAGATGCTCTGGACGAGAAGCTAGCGGAATATGCCTTTTTCCCTCTCTCGCATATCTTCAACGAGACTCAGAGACTTCCCGCGCGGACATTGGAACTGGCTGTTAATTGTCTACGGATCCTGATTGCGAAAGGATGGCGCCGGCACCTGTCCCCTCAGTTGGGCAAGCAGCTCATAATACTGCTGACCTTGATCGTGGGCGGTGCACCGAATAAAGCCAGTGGAGGTCAGTCTCTACATTCGCAGCCCGTGGAGCTCGGTATCGCTTGTTTCAATTGCTTCGCGGCTATATTCAGTGTTTTGGAAGGGCCAAAGGCAAAGCAAACAATCTATCATGAGATTGGTACAGCCACTATTGTCGACCAGGCTGTGTACATACTCCTCGAAGGTGTTTCGGATGGACCGTCGGACGAATTCTGTATGGCTGCTGCAGAGGCACTTCGAGCTCTGTTCGATCGTATCACCGATCGGGTAGTTTTAGCCAGTATCATGCCGCGGACGGTTTCGGCTCTGACAAAGGTCCTGAAGCCGACCACTCAGATACGCCGCTCTTTCAGGGTAGTCTCGATATGTCTACAGATTCTTACTAAATTACTCCGAAACGTTTTGAACGACCAAGTCACGAGTTCGGTCACCGAAGAGTCGAATAAAACCCAGCAAGCGGACAACCAGCAAGCAGAAGACAGGGTAGTCCTGGATGGATCTTGGTTGAAAGCAACGACTACGCAAATTAGGCTGGCTCTCGCGAACATAATTCAGATAAGACGTCATGAACGGCAGGAGGTGCAGGCTGCGCTTTTGGACCTCTGCTCGATGGTCATAGAGGACTGTTCGGCTACCCTCCACGATTCGATACCTCTCATGGTAGAGACGATTGTCATCCTATCCATATCAGAAGAATCACCCAATCACGCCTACACTACTCTGAATCACCTTGCTACCACGTATTCTGTTGTATTGGATACTCTCAAGGACTCGCTTCACACCTGGGTCGCTGCTTTTCCGAGGACTATGCAAGGCAATGATGAGACAGCCAAGCAATGGGGAATCAAGCAGATATCAACAGCCTTCCAGGTACTTTCCCAGGTTCAGTCGGGATCTGATATTCTCACGAGTGCTCTCGCATCAGGCTTGTGCGATAGTGTTGCTGCTACTGTCAACCAAGCCTCCAGGAATCCTTCGCCGGTGAATCAAGAGATGGTTGAGAACTTAAGTCTGGACGTTCTACATCGAGACAATCGGTCATTGACGTTTCCCTCTGTACTTCTGGGCCACCGCAGTCAGCAGCAGACTCTCAAGGATCTTCAATCGATGGTCGTTCGTCTCAATACCTCCGAGTCTGGAAGTGAGATTACAAGGTCCATCATCGGTCAAATACACCGCGCCTCTGGAGATGCAGTGGTGGCTCCGTTCTGGTTAGCCCTGAACTTTTTGAAAACTGGTTCGCAGTTCACGGGCATTCTCGACGATTTCATATCCTTAGATCATATAGAAATATCGGTCCAGAGTCTAAGCAGTAAGGCCATGATCGAGGAGCTATATTACTACTCGTTGCCTCTTCTAGATCAACCACTGGCGGAGACCTCCAGGGATTGGCGAATTTCTGCTCTCGCACTGGAAGCGGTTGCTCTTCAAGCACAGCAACTCGGAGAGGCATTTCGCCCGGAGCTGATGGATGCGCTATATCCAGTTCTCCAGCTGCTCGCATCAACTAACTCTAACCTTCAGAGGCATGCTATGGTATGCCTTGACATACTCACCAACTCTTGCAAGTACGAGGATACCAGCACCATGATCATTGAAAACGTCGATTATCTGGTGAACTCAGTGGCATTGAAACTGAATACCTTTGATGTCTCACCTTACCCGCCGCAAGTCCTCTTCATGATGGTAAAACTGTGTGGTTCTCGATTGATTCCCTATTTGGATGACTTGGTCGACTCAATGTTTGGCATTCTGGATATGTACCATGGGTACCCCAGACTTGTGGAAACGATGTTCAAGACCCTGGCTGCCATCGTGGAGGAAGGCACAAAAGCCCCGTCACTTCTCGCAATTACCAATGGCGAGGTCAAGGCTGTCGACCATCGCAAGCGGCAGTACCAGAGACTGCTGGTGTCCACCCTGGCAGAGGATTTGGCTGCCCGTAGAACAAAGCGAGCCAAGTATATGGATGAAGACGTGGAAGACGATGAAGAAAGAGTGTCACATCCGAACCGGCCCTGGAAACCAGATACTGAGAAGGTCGAGAGCTTGGACGCTGACAACCTCTCCGACATCTTGAACGCGGATGAATCCGAGGAGCCACTTCCTCCTCCTCGAGAGCCGGAGGATGAGGAGAAGCCGCTCAGTAAATCACACACGATTCTTCTACACATTGTCAAGTCCATACCCTCGCATCTGACTTCTCCTTCGCCCTACCTTCGTCGCTCCTTACTCTCCGTCCTAATTCAAGGCTTCCCAGCCCTGGCGCAGAACGAGAACAGCTTCCTGCCAGTCATCAATGATCTATGGCCTGCTGTTGCATCAAAGATCAGCTTTCCGTCTTCGTTATCCAGCGACTCGTCCTCGACCGCTCTCATGACGAGGGACTTGTCCACGCCGTCTACCAACGCTGTCAACAGCAGCGGCACACGCAAAATCGACGAGTCCGACTTCAAGGAGGAGACATTCGTCAGCACTGCCGCCTGCGAAGCCATAGAAGTCATGTGCAAGACAGCTGGCGACTTTATGGCATCCCGCGTCGAGGCCGAATTCCCCCGCTGGGAGCGCATCTATCGCCGCACATGGGACAAAGTGTGTCAAGACGCAGAAAGGGCACTCGAGCGACGCGCTCACCACCAATCCGACAAAACACCCTCATCCGAGACTCTCACACCATCAGAAACCCATCTCTCCCTACCTCTGTCTCACTCTCTATCGTTAGTCATACCCGGCTCCGGCTCCAGTACCACCTCTGGCGCTCGCGCCTTCACACCACACCATACCCTCTGGCGCGCCCAGCTCTCCCTATTCATCACCCTCCTCACTCACGTCCGTCTCCCACTATCCATGGGCGACCAAATATGCGAGTTCTTAGCCGACTGGATAACACTCTACGTTGGCTCAAACTACTACTCCCAATTCCATCTTCAAGCTACTGTTTCAGCCTCTGATATACCCACTGCCCAACGTGCCGAGCTGGAGCCCGTCGAGACTGCCATTCAGGCCATGGAGACCTGGAATGCGGATCTGACTTGGTTCCTCTTCCAGCAGCGAAAGGCGCAGGCAATCGCGACGTCGAGTAGAAGCAAGGCGGGTAATGTCGTGCCTATGATCAGCGAGATTTCGGAGAATCCATTGGAGTCTTGGTCTTCGTTGGCAAACCGTTTGAAATTCGTCCCGGTGGTGTTCTAATTTGTATAAATAGAGGTCAGATGCACGGAGTAGATGACTTGTCCCGCAGGAACAAATCTATGTGACGCCCCAGGGGCAGACAGTACCACTGCAATGCGTGCTGTCGGCGTGTGAGTAGTCTACGGTGTGAGATGTCTACAGCGGGATTATTCTACAAATGGAATCTACAAATGAGAGGAATATTGAGGAGAGATATCTGTTATTCATAGAGAGGTAGTGATGCAGCAATCAGATTTAACCTCAAATCAACGGAAGTGTTTGACACGATTGTTGTGCACTCTGTGAACTGAATGAGTGTGGATATAGCTAGGTTATGACCGAAATTGGCGCATTGTGTAGAAAGAAGCAAGTTCCGAAGGCATCCCGAACTTCACAAATAGACCGAGTAGCCGATTTACTCGTCATCCTCGCTTTCCTCGTCATCGCTCTCAGCATTCTCGAGCCAGTCAAGGAAGGGCTCAGCAGCCTTGCGAACCTTCTTGCTGGTCGACAGGTCGACGTACTTCTTGCTGGCCTTGGAACCCCATGCCTTGAGCACATCCTCGGAGACAAGGTCGTGCTGGTAATAACCCAAGAGGACGGCGGGAACCAGAGAGATTAGCTCAGGGTGATCCTTGCCAAGAAAACGCTCGGTACCGCCGAGGAAGGCCTTCTCGTGGCGCTCAGAAGTGATCATCTTCTTCAGGAAAGCAGCGCGGGCGGGAATCTGCTTGACAATCTTCTCGTCGAAGATGGTCTGAGCAAGGACAGCAACAGTCTTGTGCTTGTTCTCAATACCGAATTCCTTGGCCTTCTTGTAGATGTCGACATCGCTAACGGCAGTGACGCCGCCCTTTTCAGATGCGGTCTCGAGAATCCAGCTGCCAAGCAGATCGTAGGCAGACGGTCCATCAGGCTCTCCGTCTTCGTCGGCATCCTCAAGGACGAGGGAGCGCTTCAAATCGTCAGGCAGCTCCTTGGCACGAGCTTTGACGGCCTCCTCAGAAACGTCAACAGCCCATTCGTCGTCCTCAATGTCTTTCTCAGCCTCGAGGGCCTGAGCCTCGGCCTTAATACGGCGAGTGAGTTCATCGTCGCTGTTGGCTTCCAAGGCAACATCCTCGACTTCACCGTTGTCGGAGTTGCTGTCTCCAGGGCTGACATTGTCACCGTTGGTACCCTCCTCGGCCCTCTTGTTCTTGCGAGCTCTTCTGGCGGCCTTGTCCTTCTTCCCTCCCTTGGTAGAAGCACGGTCGCGGAGAATGAAGGTGCTCAGCTTCAAACGGGGATCAACATCGGTGCGCTGACCACAGGCCTTGCAGTCAAGGATGATCTTGTCGTCCTTGATGATGACATCCGTTTCAGGATTCTTACATTTCTTGCAAAGCACAAACTTGGAGATGAAGCCATCGAGGTAATCCTGAAGCTTGGCAGCATCATGGGCGCCGTTGATAATCCAGCGATCATCGGTGGGCTTGGCGTTAGCCTGAGCACCGAGTTCAAATCCGAAGTACTTAATCACATAGGACGGAGGACGGCTCAAGGACTGAGCGACCGAGTTCAGGTTGACAACCACAGTCTTGATACCGTTACCCTTGCCTTCAATCTTAGACTGGAGGCGCTCCATCTTGTAACGGTAGAAAGGATCGGTGACATCACGACGAATGTTGACGGTAGCCATTTTGACGGTTGTTGAAGATGATTATTTTTTTTCACGAAACAGTGAGAACGAGCTGCTTGAAAACGAAGCGGGAGGGATTATGGACCAGTGATATCTTGAAAAGACAAGACATGCGTAGCGAGTTCCTCGACTTTTGAAAAGTAGTGGATGGTGGAGAGTTAGAATCGTTTCGACTAAACGATTTCACACAGCAGATGGAGCAAGCCTGGGGTTCAGCCACAGGACTTTGAATGTATACTACAAGGTTTCAGCTCGGAGCGAAACTGTTGCAGCTTGAGCGGCAGGTGGTGTTCGAAATCTCTGACGCAGGACGAATACATAGACAAGTTCGCGACCGACTCTTTTTCTTTGAGTGGCTTTCTCCGGTAGTTGGGAAAGAAACCAACGGATGGTTCTTCTGAAAAGTGAGAGGCAACTAAAGTCAGACCTCGAACTCGTGGTGGCGGACGGTTGACCAAAGAAGACCGTATCAAGAAACTAACCAGTGGCTTTTCTTCGATCAAAACGAGAGCTGACAAACTCAGATACGTTTAACAGCTGAAGCGTGTAGCTTGGACGAGATAGCAGCGTTGAAAGCCGGTTGAAATAGATGATGCAGAATATGTAGATGGATGAGAAGAGTTGAGAGTTGTGTGCGAGAGTGAGTGAGAAGAGAAAGCGAAACGAGGAAAGAAGACGAGGGCCAAACAGAAGGAAAGGCTCGGACCCGAGGTGCCAAGACTCGCTGAGAAAAATTTCAAGGTTGCTGACTCAGCACTGTTGCCTTGCCTCTTCCGGATCACCGGGATACTTCTTCCGAGGGCACGTGTTCCTTCTCATCTTGATGCAGGGTCACATGATCAATGTCTCAGTCTCCCTCAGGCAGAACAACAGGACGTTCCATCACTGTAAGAGTAAATGAAAGCAATATGTGACTACGGAGGAATTATACGAGGCCTCTGCATCATTTGCAGATTTGTTAACTACCAGTTCATGATTCTGTGACGAGGCTGTTGTTCTGTGGTTGTGTCACTCATCTATATATGTATCAGCCCGAGGGTTCATTGTACAGATTGTTCCATTGAGATCAGTAGCAGCTATCATGGACGATACTCAGTGTGGATGTAGCTTTGAATACCAGAAATTTCATTTATCAAGAGCAAACTTGATGGCTGAATCGGAGTACAACCTCGACACCTGAGTTTGACCTCACCGGGTGTCCCCACACGCTTCCAACGTCATTTGATGCTGCCTCTGACTCTTCCCGAGTCCTCTGATCTGGACCACGGGAGAGCCAACACCAGCGAATTCCATATTGTGGATCACTCGCATAAAAGTTACTTTGTGTAAGTATGCTTCTACATGTACAACTCTCTGTTCTCGGACTCATTTGATCTCATATCAATCTCAACCCCTCCTGCCCCTCACTGTTCTGTCTGCCGCAAACTTCTGGCTCCCGGCCATATGCTGACAACGGCAATAGAAAATGCCTTTAGACCTATCAGTATACCTGGTCACAGACTCGACCCCAGCCATTCTTAAAGGCCGGGATCTGTGCACTGTGGTAGAAGAAGCCTTGAAAGGAGGTCAGTCAATGTCACACTTGTCTCGCACAGCAACATCTCTGCTAATGTGTTGCGTCAGGTGTGACTATTGTGCAATATAGAGACAAAACGAGCGACACAGGGGATTTGATTCGAACGGCTAAAGAGCTGCACAGAATCACCAAAGCTTATGAAGTCCCACTGTTGATCAACGATCGTGTAGATGTCGCCCTCGCTGTTGGGGCAGAAGGCGTCCATCTCGGGCAAGACGATATGTGTACGACCCATGGCCTCAGGTGACCGCTATTGATCCGTACTGATACGGTTGTTACAGACATCGAGGAGGCGAAAAAACTGCTTCCCAAAGATGCTATCATCGGAATCAGTGCGTCTTCTGTTGAAGAGGCCCAGCGAGCCATCGAGGCGGGTGCCGATTACCTGGGTATCGGAACCATGTTCGCAACGCCGACGTAAGTTGCTATTTAGACGGATGATCCATGGATGACCTTGTCATGATTTAATCTGACTTGCCAGTAAAACGAACACGAAACACATCCTCGGAACAGCGGGCACGCAGGCAATCCTCGACGCTATTTCCGACTCTGGTCGAAAGGTGGGGACCGTCGCTATCGGCGGTATCAACCTCTCGAACGTCCAGCGTGTGATGTACCAGTCCAAAGCTCCCAGAAAGGGCCTGGATGGTGTCGCTATCGTCAGTGCCATCATGGCAGCTGACGACCCGCGCGCTGCGGCAGAGGAGTTTGTCAAGCGTATCAACAGCCCACCCAGCTTTGCATGGGAACCCAAGGCACCTCGAGCGAGTGAAGCTGCAGCACTGGTCGAAGAGGTAGCTCAAATAGTTCAGAAGATGGTCAAGGCACACCCTTTGGTCCATAATATGATTAACTACGTCGTGGCCAATTTTGTTGCTAATGTTGCTCTCGCAATGTACGTCTGCATTTGAGTCATTATTGATTTATCTAATTGGCTTGCAGGGGCGCCTCCCCGATCATGTCACCATACGGTGAAGAAGCAGTCGACCTGGCCAAATTCGACGGTGCTCTTGTCATCAATATGGGAACCTTGTCGCGGGAAAGTATACCGAACTACCTCCAAGCGATCAAATCGTACAACGAGCGCGGAAATCCTGTGGTCTACGACCCCGTCGGCGCCGCTGCGACCCAGGTCCGACGTGGGGCCGTCAAGGAGCTTATGAGCGGGGGTTACTTTGATCTTATCAAGGGAAACGAAGGAGAAATTAGACAGGTGTCAGGAAGCAGTAATGCGGTCCAGCGCGGCGTGGACAGCGGACCAAGCACTCTTGACGGACAAGAGAAGGCCAGATTGGCCCGCGACCTAGCCAGAAGAGAGCGTACGCTGCACCGTCCTTCCAAGTGGGATCTAGTTGCTAACCCTGACAGGAAACGTCGTCCTTTTGACCGGCGCCGTCGACTATCTAAGCGACGGCGAGCGTGTGATCGCTGTCGAGAATGGCCATGAATTCCTTGGACAAGTCACCGGCGTACGTCCAATACTATCCTTTCCTCAATCTCTTGCTAACTCAAGGTACAGACTGGTTGTGCCGTGGGAATGGTATCCGGCTGCTTCCTGGCTGTGCACCCCTCCGACAAGCTCCTGGCCGTTCTGTCAGGTATCCTGATGTACGAGATTGCGGCGGAGAACGCCGCGTCGAAAGACTACGTCCGGGGACCGGGAAGCTTCGTCCCGGCGTTCCTGGACGAGCTCTACGCCATCCGGCAAGCAGCTCTAAAGGGTGACGACAGCTGGTTCTCCGGACGGGCAAAGATCCAAGAGATCAAACTATTCCAAGAACTTTAGTGTATATAGACGATGTATCCCGTATACCCGTTAATAAAAGCTGTGATATTTGCAATACATTCAGCCGTCTGACTCGGAGATAACTACCTAGAACTGTTTCTGTTGAAGCCTGATTTCTCGGGCGAAAAGCTTCCCCGCACTGGTCCGATTTTCCCCGCCATATTCCTCCGCAGCAAGAAACAGCGGCCTCATACTTTTTCATATGTCACGATTATTCCATCCCGTCTCCAGCTCACAAAGCAATTGAGATTCTCAACCATCCATCTAGCAAATAAACTCGAAAACACACTAAGCAATTTACAATGGCAGCCATCTCACGAGCCTGTCGGATCCGTACGCCTGACTCCTCCCAACTGACATTCTGAAATGCTAACAACAGGGTACTGTCCACAGGCAATCCAGCCTTATTGTACGCCTCCCATGTCACCAACAGATCAAAAGACAACCCTCTAACAGCACAAACAGCATCTGCGACCTCCAAGAGAAATTCCGCGCCATCTACGAGTTCCCGAAACTGTACGCCTGGCCTACACCCCTCATCCATTCGCCCAGACTAACAAACAAACAGCATAACAACAACCACCAAACTCCTCAAAGCCTCCTCAGCACTCAACATCCCCGTCTACGTGACCACGCAAAACCGCCCACGACTAGGCGACGTCGTCTCCGAACTCCAACCCTACCTCTCCACGCCGCTTGTGCGCGCCAACATCGATAAGACGCTTTTCTCGATGATCACGCCGGAGCTCGATGCGCTGTTGCCGAACGCGAAGGGCGGGGAGACGCCGCTGGATGTTATCATTGTGGGGATCGAGACGCATATCTGTATTACGCAGACGACGCTGGATTTGCTGGAGCGCGGGCATAGGGTGTATGTGATTGTTGATGGGGTGAGTAGCATGAATAAGGAGGAGAGGGGGGTGGCGCTTGCGCGGCTCCGGGATGCCGGCGCGATTGTGACGAGTAGTGAGGGGATTTTGTTTGAGATATTGGGGGATGCGGGCAGGACGGAGTTCAAGGCTGTTAGTGGGTTGGTGAGGGAGACGAAGGAGGAGACGAGGGAGGCGATGGAGGTGTTTTCGAAGATTTGATCTCTTCTTTTCCTTTCTATCGAGTCTAGATATATGTATGAATGGACATGGCCAGAAGGCGACGCTGCATGTGCCTAAAGATATATATTGATTGCTAGTGGTTGACTCATTTTGTCTACATACGGGCCTTCAATCCATGTTCCAAAAACGCCATTTCCCTTCGTCCAATTCCTGATATAGTTCATTTAGGCATTGTTACAACGCGTTTAGGCGGCTGGGATGAATTAAGCCAACCAAACGCAGAAGCCCCGCCGATAGGATTCGGAGCCAACTGTTTGCCAGCCCGGCTTTCGTCTGGGGACGCTCGGGAGGACGTCGGTTGAGGAGACGCTGCGGCGTCAGTACCGGCGCCGCTTGACGCTGTTGGCACCCGTGTAGAAGACTTGGTCGGCCGTAGAACTTTCATCGTACGGCCCCGAGATGGCTTGCTCGCGCCGGACGATGCCGGGTCGATTTTCGTCTCCCGTCTCCATGCGCTCCAGACACCTGCAGTTTCAGGCTTGGCGGTTTCGTTGGCCTGAAAGTCGATGGCAGAGGTGGACTTGCCTGGATCTTCCTGAGCTTCAGCAACAGGAGACACGTCGTGAGAACCCGATGAATGGGTCTTTCGACTTTCATCTAGCTCTTCGGTGGATGCCCTTGCGGTAGTAGACGCAGAGGTAGATCGTCGCGATCGACTCGGATCTCCGATGACCCCAACTCCGGAATCGCCGCTCACATCTGTCGGCCCCTTTTCCAAAGCCTGCCTTGTCGAGCGTTCAATGCGCGAGCAATCTGATGCGGTGCAGAGAGACTTGAACACAGAGTCATCCTCCGGCCGCACTAGGGGAATGGAAATCTTATTCCTTTCGTCATCTACCATGATGATCTTGTCCTGAGAGAACAAAATGTCCGCATTATGAGAGCGAAGAACATCGCTTCCGAGGATAATCTGAATGGAATGATCGTTGGGATCCATATCCCGAACAAGAAAGCGGATAGTCAGGGTGGGAAGCTGAGGAACCGGGCTGTTGGGACGAGACGAGGCCTGGTGAACGCTGGCCTCCGGGAGATACATCGGAAGCTTGATGAACCGTACGCCATCCTCCTGGGTTACAAGATCTTCCAAGCCGAGTTTCTGCACCATCGGATACCCAAGTGTCGAAGCATACGATCCAGAACAGGCAGCAGCATACAGAAGCGAGTCGTTTGAGAAATTTGTCGTCAACCAACATCGAATAACACACGGCACAGGGCCTAGGAGGAATAGACCCGGCGGGGGTATCAGAGGAGAGCCGCCGACGGACGAGCCCATTATGCGACTCGTCGTCTCCAGCCCTAAACTATTCGTCCGAGCCGAGTGGTGTGAATGGCCTGAAGAACTCTGTCGGCCATCAGACCGGTGGGACAGTGAGCGTTCGGTGAGTGGATGGCTTCCCATGCCGCTCCCAGTCCTCAGCGGCAGCTCGCTGGTAGATCGGCTGGCTTGCCCATAGTAACCATGAATAGCACTTTCATCGAACCGGACACTATTCGCTCTGGATGTCCCTCTTCTCGGTTCGTCTTCGCTCTCGAGACCCATTGGATTCGCCATTCCGTGGTGCTGGCCCTGATCGAACCCTTTAAAGGCGTCAGCAGGGGCGTGAAAGACTGGATCTTTGGAGTAAAACAATTAATATCTGCTATGGTACCCTAAGCATAGGAGGCGAGAAACGCACCTGTTGAAATGTTACCCCCGATAGAAGTCGGAAACGGTGACAAAGGACCCCAAACACTTCTCAGCCTCGCATCCTCATCCCTCCGCCTTTCCAGTCGTGCAATCCGCTCCGCCTGCTCAAATTGCGCAGCGTGAAGTTCCTTGAGCTCCTCAAAGACGCGCCAAATGTCGTCGCGCGAAGCAAAAGGATACTGAGCGTCCATGTCCACGCGGATGGAAACCTGAAAGAGGTCTTCGACGAGCGGCGAAAGGCGACAGACGGTTCACGCAGAGAGAAAAGACCGAATCCTGCAATCACAAGCTCGCTTGCTTAGACCAAAGCTTCGTATATCGTCTGCAATACTGCTCGGTTCTCCGATCTTGTGCACGGGTAGTGTCAACTGGCAGCTGGCTTAATCCTCGGACTCCTCCTCCCTCGTATGCTGTGAGACGGCCGTAAGGCCGTCCACGTACTTGCTAGTTTCTGATTTTCGTGTATCACTTGTCAGAACATACAGGTGGGCCGCGGGTTCTGTACGGTATAAAGACGGATCGTAATGTGGTCAAGCGGGCGGCGTGGAATCCGACAGAAACAGATGGCGGAATGGATACTGTGTAGGCAATGGCACAGTCAATGGTTAAGCAATTAGCAAAGTGACTTTCGAAGGGTCTGTGATTCTATTGTAAGACGATTAGAGCGAGTTGTCGATTTTTCACGGATGGGATCTACGGTTGAATTGGGGTTCTCGCAGGCAGAACGGGGTAGTTGGGTGTTGGAGAGAAACGCGTGTGTTTGCAGCGAGCGCCTGGATTGGAGAGAAAGGAAGTTATAGAGGACTTTGAGAATCTCGATGATGATATACAGGTTCTATCTCGAAAGATATATGCGTCTTAGAGCACGAGGTGTGTTATGGATAGACGACTGATGATGACGGAGTAACGAAGCAAAGGGACGTGGGCAGTGAGGGGATCACAAGTCCGCCGTCCATCACTTAAACCGGCAACGGTCTAGACCGCTTTTATTCTCCTACAGCGTGCACAGTCCATGCCAGTGCTTCTGACATTTGATCAAACTCATCAATATCTGTGACCAATCATTGCTATGATAACATTTATATATGATAATGAGCCTTTCTACTGATCGTGCCAGCTTTGGTGTAGGGTAACTACACGGATCGCTTCCAGCAGATCATTGCAACATCATTTGGGAGCCTCCATCCACCCAGGAAAGACCATCTCGAGCGCCTCGGGGGCTTGATCAGGCCACTTGGCTGTGATAGTCTTCATCACTTCTTCATACATGAGCCGATAGCCGTCGCCGGTAAAATGCAATCCTGTAACATATTAAGGTCAGCACGAAGCGCCTATATGAACGAAAACTGGGATCGAACCATCCGTGAAGAAACTCTGCAGCTTCTCATTGTTAGGGGCGTCTCTGGACCCGATCAGAGGTTCTCCCTCTTTCCAACCAGCCGCAGTCATGAACGCAGTCCAGAGATCTACCACTGCAACCCCTAACGAGGCGGCGACCTCGCGGGCGGCCTCCGAATACAGCTTGGTCTGCTTGACTGTCCTGCTGGGATGTGGCGTGTCCTTTGCGATGTCAAATTCTTCCAGTTGGTATTCGTTCACCGGTGGCGGGGTCAGGATCAGTATCCTTGGGTTCTGAGCAATTGTCGCCGGGTGCTGGATGATCTTCTTCAGATTTTCTTTGTAAGTCTCCACTGGGACGTGCTGGTAGTGTCCAGGGACGGCCGCATCATTTGCTCCGAAAAATATTGTCTAGAACGTTTCAGAACCATGCCTACTACTTCAGCGAGCAGGGTGCCATACCATAAACCGAACAGTAGCCGTCTCTGGTTTGGGGAAGAACTTGGGAAAGACCTTGACCGCATGCGCGGTGGTATAACCACTATGCAGGAGTCAGTACACACATCTATGCAAGCTGCAAGTTGTAAACACATACCCGAACCCGCGATTGATCACGTCCAAGCGGCGGCTGTAGGCTGTGGAGAATCAGTATCGGCAATCCATTTAAGTCGCATGCCCTATAGACAGGGAAATCTTACCATCCTGAAGAGCAGGCTGAAAACCGAACCCCATACTTTGATCCGAAGACATTTGCGTAATCGAGTCTCCAAATAGGACGAACTGGTCGTACGGCTTACACAAGGCCTCCTCGGCCGATTGGGCAACCCCGTTAGACATGATGCCGACAGCGGACAGCAGACGCGCAGACAATCAGATGAGATTCAGATCAGATTCAAATCAGTCACTAGAAACCAATAAGGTAGCACACAGTTCAGTTTGCAACAGTTATTCCTCACGAGGACGAGGCACTTCTTATGACCACTGGTGGGGTTGAATCTCGATGGATCTCGGCCGCTTATCGGCTAGTCTGGCTAAATTGATTGAACCGTAGCTTAGCTGGAGAACTAGCTATGCTCTATTGGATACGGAGCTTCGGAGGCAGTTTTGGGGTCAAACTGTCGTCCCTTTTCGTGGATTCATAGGTCGATTCTTATTGGTCTCGGCAAAAAGGTGTTTGTCGGCCTGGGATTATCCACCAACAGCGTTCTTCCATTCTTTGTATACATTTCTCGGGGTGTTGACGCTTCAGGTGAATAGATGTCTGCAATTGATAAATATTTCTTTACTTATCCTCTAGAAGCTAGTCTTTGCGCTTTGAACGCCCACGCTCTGTTTGATATAGATTTTGCTTCTTACAATGCGAATTGTGCTCTTTAGCTGATATATTTCTTTAGTATATGCATCCCAGATCGGATCATTTCCTCGATTACACACAAGACCATGATATGCATCATAGCAACCACACGATCCAGACACAACTTGTGGATAGCTAATAAAATAATTAGAATATGTACATCACTGCGTAGATTTTCGTTCTCTCGGCTGATATCCATTTGTCAATGCAGCAGCTATAGATGGACAGAGGAATCCTTAAGAAGCATTACGCCATTTCTTTCCCATGACATGGAGCAGAACGGTGAAAAGGAAGCTAAAGACAAAGAGAAGAGAACTGGTGACCGCAGAACTAGCAGCGACACCAACATTAGTGAACATGTCGGGAAACCTATCCACAAATTAGCCATCGTCCGGAGATCATGACTGCGTGTCCAGCCAGCATGGAGACAGGAATCTTACCAGAATGGACCGATGAAGCCCCACATCTGCCGAACGAATGTGATAAACACTCCAACACTGCCGGAGTCCCGAGGATAGTTGTCAACAGCATAGGTGATAGCCGTCGTTGTCACCAGCTGATTGCCAAAAGCCGCAATGGCAGTGCCAACGATAGGAGAGACAACCCAGTGGCCTTCGGGTGCCTGCTGCGTGCAGACAAGGAAGACGATCGCACCGACGATTGTCAGAATGACGCCGGGATATGTGAGCCAGAGCCGATACTCGGGTTCGGGTCTTCTCTGAATACGACGAGCCCGGTGGTTCATCCAGAAATCTGATAGAGAGCCACCAACTTGTTCTCCCAGAATCGAACCGATGATCACACCAAGGAATTGCAGACCAAGTTGCTCGGCGTTGAGGCCAAACTTCAGTTGCAGAAGCTGGGGAACTTCCACGGTAATAAGAACGCTACCGAACAAGAAGACCATGGCATACACGATAGCAGGAATAAACACGCGGGCATGCTTCACCAGGGTCAGAGGGTGATAGAACTCGCTAAATCTCAGAGGAGTAGAATCGATCCGGCGGAAGGATAAGTATTGACTTTTGAAGTCTGCAGACAGACTTTCCTCACTGCCACCCAGGTAGAGGGTTTCGGGACCAAAGAACAGATAAAGAATGAACTGAACGCCATTGACGATGGCAAGGACCCAGTAGATCCAGCGATATCCTACACGATAGGCGACGAACCCAAAGATAAGCGGTCCTGTCCGCACATTAGCGAAGCCCAGACTACTTCCAAAATGATAAACGCACCGACTGGGACGCCCAGCGTGACCATCAAGGTCCAGACGCCCATGTACTTGGCTCTCTCCTTCTTGAAGAAGGTTTCCGTCACAACAGCACTCCCAATCGCTGCGGCGGGTGATATGAAGAAGGCTACCAAGGCTCTGCACGCAGCCATGGATCCATATGTAGGGCTCTTGGCACAGCCGACATTACAGATTAAGCTGATAATCAACGACAGGAGAAAGATGGGTCGACGTCCAAACCGGTTTGACAATGGCTTCCAGAACAAAGGAGCTCCACCCAGAATTGCAATCTGGAGAGACGTGAGATAGCTGGCGCTCTGGACGGATTTCCCGAATTCGATGGCAATGTCTTCGTATGCTGGCGTAATGGATGCCGCTGTCAGGGTTGCCATGCAAGCATGGAATGCCACAAGGACTAGATTGAGCACTTTCTGAAAAAGGAGACATAGGTCAGTCATTTTCCGAGCGACGGAAAGATAGGGGCAAAGGCAGTGATACCTTCCAGAGAGGCCAGTTGTATGGATCGGCATTTGATGGGCTTGGAATAGGATCCAGGTCAAGAGTTCCATGGCGTTCAATCAAATATTCTTTGTGAGATACAGAAAGACTGGCAGCGGCAATCTCTGCCTCTGTAGCATGGATGTCATCTGCTTTCTCGAGACATTCGCTGTCTGTTTTCTCTGAGTGAAGAATAATCTTGGTGTCCGGGGCTGAAGGCGGGCGAACGTCCTCCGCCATTTCGATGGAGGGCATGGTATCTCTGTCCCCGAGGGAGAAATCTTGAAAGAGCGAAGTTTGGGGCAAGGTGGAATATAGTAGGATGGGTCAAGAAGAGTCTACCCCGGACGGAGGAAGACCATACGTTTATAGTGCCCCAGAGTAGGACGGGGGTACGCTACTTGAGGTTCCAGATGAGATGATAAGCAAAGTGCATGAGTCGTGGGGACCATTCATTGCTTTGAAACCCGGGGTTGGGGGAATCTGGCGCTCTGTCTGCACTCAAGAGGCAACCCATCCGAGAACATAGCAGATTAGAGACATTCGTGGAGAGGTCTGTGGGGATGAATCCCCACAGACACCAGGGGGAAAGTGAGCTCCGTGAGCATCTAGTTTATATCGAGCTTGTGGCAAATAGCCAATTATCGTCCCAAGTTGTCTCTGTTGGGCGAAGTGAAGAGCTCGATCTGACGCCAGACGATTTCATGGGGGACTTAAGCTCAGGAGTCTTCCTGGACTGGTAATCCCCGCAGCGATATCAACTAGCTATCTAGATAGACGATGGACAATGCCCTGTGTTCGAGGTTCGAGCACGTATGTTTCCGTGATTATGATTCTTTAAGACTCGGAGATACCGGTTTGTCAGACCCGCTGGCTAGATCAGTGACCCACCTGGAATATGGGGTAGAATTTTTGATCTGGGGTATGTCAAGGCCTCTGATAGAGTCCTATATCCTCTTGACTCCTGCCTAACTTGATTATCAACGACAAACTGCTTGAAGAGACCATCGTCGCACTGCCAAGTGGACATCATGAAGCGTTGCTAAGCTTTACCTCAGTTGCCACGAAGCTTGTAACTCCGACTCGGCTTTCTGTTTCAAGTCATTTGGGCCGAGCGTTCGATCCTTTGCCAAGAACTCTTTGGCCGAGGAAGTGACGTACGCAATAAACAGTACGCTCTTGGTCCGACGTGTCATTGTGGTGTCTTCATCCACAGAAATGTTCGTTGAGTCCATGGCTCAATGACTAGTACATGAAGTTGAGTAAGTAGTGTATAATTTCGAGCTGCAGCTTCGAAAGGGTAGAACTCCGGCAATCAATTCGAGGACTAGATGCCTGGGTTGGGGATTATTATTGTGGGGTGTGGGGAGGATGGTCTTCTCTGCCTTGAAGCCTTGCGGAAAATCAAAGATCGCTCCGTCGCTACAGAGTGCTCGGTACAGAGTTAGTGACGGTGATGAAACCATGCTTTCAGCATTGGATCCGACAGCAACATGGCCCATCACAATGGTGTAGTCTCTGTACTTGAATCTGGGATGTCTTCGCCGGTCCCGGTATAGCTGTTTACAGGACGACTTGATCTATACGGTCCATATTAGAAGTGCAAGGCCGGGACTGCAATGAGAGAGTGTGTGACATTAAATCAATATTATAGCTATCTTTCTGGGCCAGCAGGAGGATATATTTACTCATAGTCTTGTAAAGTCTGGGCATTTCTTCGTGCCCCAGGATATATAATGCAGGACATACATGAAGCTTTCCACTAATAATAGCAGTGCCGCTGCTACCACCCGCATGAAGGGCTCATTAACTCATTATTGATGCTCATGCATCTGCAAAGGTGGACAGGGGTACTCGATAATTTATTTATCACGACAAAGGTAACTATATATATGGAATTTAGTGTGCCTGCTTCTTGAAAGACTGTTTATCTTGCAATTGCTAGCAGACTACCAGACTGAATAGTACAGAAGACTGCTACAGTAACCCATTCCCTGCAGTGTTTACTTGACATATATCAGAAGGTAAGTGAGACAGTGACTAACCTGTGTTTGGTTCGAGTTTCACAACTATCTGTATCAAATATCAGTTTTCCCATCCCAGGTCAGTGGCACAGATATGTTGATCGACATACTAGACAGGGAACCCTGTTAGGTTTATCATTGTCAGCACTTGGGCCGATCGAGCTTGCAGCTCGGATAGAAACCGGATGTCTCAACAAGGTGTTCCCGTCTATGTTTGAGACCTGATGCGTTTAGACCCTTATGGAGTCATTTACCGAGGGTATCTTGTATGATTGTTAATCATCACTACGTCTGCTGCTGCTCAGGTTCAACGCTGGCTTCTCCCTGGAGGCTTGGCAAGTGAAGCTACTAGTCTATACACATGCAGGCTTCTCCTTCGGGCCGGTGCTGATCGTAAGCCCAGCTGTAGCATCTTGTCCACACAGTCAACAGATCCAACCTTGATTCGTCTTTATTGAGCAAGAAAGACAATCACGGATTGATGATCCCCATGAGCCAACAGGATGACTCGTCTTGCCCCATTGATGATCACTCCAGATGATGCTATCTGTAGCCTGACCATGACTTGCGGGATGCGGAGGTCACCTGCCCGTGCCACGATTGCTTCCAAGCCCACTAGCAACGATTGGAGAAACGCCTAGATAATTGGAGTAAAAAGCATCTACTGGTACTTGCATCGACCAAGGGCAGGACCTTTCCGGTGGAAGTTTCGCCTCGAAAGCTATCGTTCACTTTTGTTTCATCACGTTTTACCTTTTTCTACACCATTCTCTTCTTCTCTGAGACTTCTTTCATTGTTGAATTGTTTGTTGATATTCAGTTGGTTCCGGGATAACTTCACCGCTTGACCGCTCCCGTACTATCAAAACAAGTGGGACTTGGTTATTCCACTCCAGGACATTTAAAGTTCCTCTTTTGTCTGTCGAGGGCCTGTGGTGGATATAGAGAGGGATATGTTTTTCAGTAAGTCGGATATGAGCAGATCCAGTTCCCTCAAGACGAGTCCTCCTTTAGTGTTTGTTTGTTGTGCCTGAGGAATAGTTATACTCTATCTAACAAGGTTCTCAGTTCTTCGTGTCTAGTTCGAAGCAAGAGCAGCTTCAAATAATCTCCAGAATGCCTCGGTCTGTTCCTCCAAATATATCGCCCTTGCCTCAAAATGACGACTCCAACCTTTCGGCAAGCGAATATCTAAACATCGCTTCCCGCACCGCTCCTCCGTCTCCATCGGCCGTCAGGCGTACACATTCCCTTCTGTCCGAAACTCATACCGGGTATCAGTCTTTGGAATCCCACATGGAAGCCGGTGAAACCACAAGTTTGTTAGGGAAGACTCGCGAAAATCGTCGGGGCACACCACGAAGATCGTACACCAGCATCTCCGCTATTCCGGCCCCTGATAATTATCTCAGACACTCCTTGACGAGCGGTAGCCTACGTCGGTCTCGACATCACAGCCGTGCAAATTCGCAATCCCTGCGATTTAGCCGAAGAGGCAGTATTGACGACGACCAAGGTGAAGACCTTCCACCATCGGCCAAAGATGGAATGACCGCTTCATTTCTTGACGAGCGTAACTGGTACGACCAGTTCACCTCGACTGACTGGGTGCATGACAGTATTGCTGATGGGGCGCGTCTGCGGGAACTGCGCAAGCGGAAGGATTTTCGCGGTCGCCTGCTCGCGGCGTTCGATGGTGCTCAGGGTTGGATTCTGGTTGCGTTGATCGGCTGCATCACCGCTGCCATCGCCTATTTTGTGGACGTGACCGAGGACTTCGTCTTCGATCTGAAAGAAGGATTTTGCACTACAAGATGGTTCCATAACCGTGAAAGCTGCTGTGCAGACACCCTGGACTGCTCTCGATGGCGGTCATGGTCGCAGATTCTCAGTCCGTCTGGTTCTGACAATGGATGGGTCGACCATTCCATGTTTGTGCTCTGGGTGGTTATCCTTTCGGTTATCTCATGCTACCTGACGCTGTTCACCAAGACTGTTGTGCCATCGTCGGTCTCGCTCACGACGCTAGATGAGAACCTCGGTGCCGGGACTTCTCAAGGAACGAAGCGTGACACCTCCGAGGACGATTCTCCAGCATCAGTAATTAGCCCGAGGACGCATTATCCAACTATCTCCACGCGCCCCGCCATGACTTACTATTCCGCAGCGGGCAGCGGAGTGGCCGAGGTGAAAGTCATCAACAGCGGTTTCGTCCTTCACGGCTATCTCGGGTTCAAGACTTTGGTCGTCAAGACTATTGCGCTAGTTTTCAGTGTCTCGTCCGGCCTGAGTCTTGGGAAGGAGGGTCCGTATGTGCATATTGGCGCCTGTGTCGGAAACATCGCATGTCGGTTGTTCTCCAAGTACAACGATAACGACGGCAAAAGACGAGAGGTGCTCAGCGCCAGCGCTGCAAGTGGGGTCGCCGTCGCTTTTGGTGCCCCAATCGGTGGAGTTTTGTTCAGTTTGGAAGAAGTCAGTTATTATTTCCCGCCAAAGACTTTATTCAGGACGTTCTTGTGCTGCATCGCGGCAGCTCTTTCTTTGAAATTCCTCAACCCCTACGGCACTGGCAAGATTGTCCTTTTTCAGGTCCGGTATGTGACTGATTGGGAGATATTTGAAATCGTCGTTTTCGCACTGCTTGGGGTTCTAGGAGGAGCGGTTGGCGCTCTCTTCATCAAGGCCTCGAGTCTGTGGGCGAAATCATTTCGCAAACTTTCCATCATTAAACGCTGGCCGATGCTGGAAGTTATTCTTGTTGCATTGGTGACCGGAGTGGTCAGTTTCTGGAATCGGTACGCCAAGCTGCCTGTCTCCGAACTCCTTTTCGAGTTGGCAAGTCCATGTGATCACGAGTCCGTGACATCGACTGGATTATGTCCCACCGAAGACGGGATCGGCGCGATTATCAGCGATCTGCTGGTAGCCTTCGTGATCAAGAGTCTTCTGACGGTGGTGACATTCGGCATTAAGGTGCCCGCCGGAATCTATGTCCCGTCCATGGTTGTTGGCGGTCTCATGGGCCGCATTGTTGGCCATGTGGTGCAATTCTTGGTTGTAAAGTTTCCAAACTTCTTTCTATTCTCGACCTGTCCGGTGTACTCGGGCATGGAGTCCTGCGTTGTTCCAGGAGTGTATGCAATGGTGGCCGCTGGGGCCACCATGTGCGGCGTAACTCGTTTGTCTGTCACTCTGGCGGTCATTCTGTTCGAGTTGACGGGCAGCCTGGACCATGTCCTGCCCTTTTCCCTGGCAGTTCTTTGCGCCAAATGGACTGCAGATGCCATTGAGCCTCGTAGTATTTATGTAAGTCTAGCGTCCATATGACTGCTAATCCCAGGATGAGCTAACTTTGATAGGACCTGCTCACTGATATGAATTCTTATCCGTTCCTCGACAACAAGATTCAGGTTCTCTCGGAGGACGAACTCGGGGATATTGTCCGACCTGTTCGGAAAAGTCGCGTGATTGATATTTCAGAATCGCCTTTTGTGCCAGCAACCGAGTTGCGCTCCAAACTGCAGCACCTGCTCATGGCAGGTGAGCTGGACAGCGGCCTCCCTATACTGCGCAACGATATTTTGTGTGGTATTATACCGGCTCCAGACCTTGAGTACGCCCTTGACACTATAGAGGATGAGGAACACACCATGTGCCTCATGTCAATGGACACGGCTTCTGCTGTCGTTGACAGCGAGGATTCCAACGGCAATAGCTGGGTAGACTTCCGCCGATATATTGACCCGGTATGTAGCCTCATTTTTCCCGCTGTGATTCTTAAACTGACAGTTCCTTGCAGGCTCCAATCTCTCTCGATATACATTCGCCCATCGATCTTGTCTACCAATGTTTCGCCAAATTGGGACTGCGCTATCTGTGCGTTCTCCGCGACGGACAGTACGCAGGCCTGGTCCACAAGAAGGCATTCGTCAAATATGTCAAGGAGAACGAATGAGCGAGACATCCTCTACCCACATGGATCGGGTTGAAGCATACTGCCAAGTATCAACCCATCTTTTTTGGCATACCCGGCGTTTGCATTCACATTTGTCCCATAATTCTTGCCCTACATATGTTCCTTGGTTGTATTAACTTTCCGTTTGGCAAGTCCTGTATATGAACCTCGGACTTGAAGCGAGGAACTCTGCTTTGGCATTTACACAGGCTTCATGTAGATTACGGTTGGCTTTTTGACGAGTCGTTTCAGCGGACATATATCATGACAGCATGTTATACAGTATATACGGAGCTCAATATTGACATATGTATATGAGATTAGCAATCACTCAATTTCCAACCCGTAGTCACTACAATATCCGTTCATAACCCACCATCTGGATCCGCACATCGCCCTCCTCCCTCCATTTCGACGAGACTTCCTCGCCCACCCACCCGGACACCTCCTCCTCGCTCGCCATCCTCCACTTCCCCCCAGCCGCAAGCTCCTTATCTACTGGGAAGAAAGTATCACACTCAAACTCCGTCCCATCCACCCTCTCCACATTCGTCATCACAATCCGCAGCGGTTGTGTCTCGCTCATCCGCAACGCAGAAGCATATATCTCCGCCCCACCAATCACAAATACATTCCCCAGTCTCCCCTCCGCCCCGTAGCCACCCTCCAAACTCGCCAGCGCGTCCTCCAGCCCTGTACTCACGAGAGCATCTGTCTGCGCCTGCGCCTGCTCTTGTTTCTGAGCTTGCGCCTGAGCCTGCTCAGCAGCAGCAGCCTTCGCCCTCTTCGCCTCCAACTCCCTCATTATCCGTTCCCGCACAGAACCAGTACTATCCCTCGTAATCACAACATTGATGCGCTTCGCGAGCGGGCGGAGGTTCTGAGGCAGCGAGTCGTAGGTCTTGCGGCCCATGATGATCGCGTTTGTGGTTCCGGGGCGAGGGGGCCGCGATGTCGCGCGCGCGAAGAACGCCATGTCTGCTTTTATGCGCGGCCAGGGGAGGGTGCCGTGCAGGCCGATGCCGAGGCGGGTGGGGAGGTTTTCGCTTGTGCGGATTGGGGTCGTGGCCACGATGAGGGTTAGGGGTTGTGAGGGGGGCATTTTGGTTGCTGTCGTGTAGGAGGTGGTTGTAGATGGAGGAATGATTTGAGATGGAGATGCAGAAAGTGGGTTGATTGGATTGTTTGGACGTGTCGCGCGAATCGAGCTGATATGGTTGATAAGAAGTTTATCGTGGAGTGATTGCCCCACTAGAGAGGTGTGAAGAGCATGCTCCAGATACTACGTTAGTAGTAGAGAGGTACGGAGTATTTTAGCATGTTTGTATTGCTGATGATTCAATGGGTATCTATAATTACAAGTTCCTATGGAACAGCCTGGAAAAACTTGAAGAAAACACCATACGCCAATCCCATGCAGAGCAAACCTCGCCCAAAAGTAATCACTTCGCAGGCTTCAACAGCCCACCCTCCGCAATAACCTTCTGAATAGCCTCAGCATTGCTCTCCAACTGCTCTCTCCGTTTCACATCCGCTTCGTCTTCTCCCAGAGTGTCGAGTTTCCCAAACAGCCAGGCCTCCTTCATTGTGCGGGTTAGGGAGAGAATATCCTCTGCTGCGCGCACCTGTCGTATACTCGCGTATCAGCATATAACACTTCGTATCCTACTGATGGGGCGACTTGTGCTTTAACACATACCAGCGCGGTTGACTCCACGTCAAGCTGATACGTTTCGACAGCTGTTGCTGTGTGACTTGTATTTTCAACCTGCGACTGAGGTCAGTCGGCTCCACCGCGGTCTCTGTCCTAGAGTACACGAACGGTAGCTGTAGCCATTATATTCTCGAATCGCTGGAGTAATTGTGAGATGTTGGCATTGATGCGATCTGCATGTGATGCGGTTAGTTGGGTTACTGTAGGTTCGAGATGCCAAGGGCAGGCAGGCATTGCGCTCGAAACTCACTATGCAGTACTTTAGATGAAGGTTGAGAGTCCATTATTGCGCTTCAATTGGGTTTTGACGGTGTTGATGTCTGGAGTTCATCTGAAGAGAGACTGGATATTATCCCTCACGCTGATGTTGAAGGTGGGGATTATGGCGGTCCAATATTCTGCCATCATCACTCCTGTTTGCTCAGTTTGAATCGTTGTTTTAGATGCCCTGTCTTAATGTATCTTTTTGCAACAAGAACTGACCGATCAGCCACATTACAGGGTAGTCTTGTAATTATTTGCACAAGCTAGCAGCACAGATATAGGCCTATCGCGTAGATGAATTACCCATACAGAAAATGTGGCATGAATTTGGTGTATCTTATATGTTGCGGAGTTCGGAACGGCTCATAGTCTCATGATCGAGCACCAACTGACTGCAAGCGCTCCTCAAACTATGACTTCAAACAAGGCAAACGTAAGAGTTAGGACATCTCTGAGAACCATTCACCAGGGGCGCCTAGGCCAACGAGGCTATGCCGAATGGCTTCAGTAGGGTTGCCTTCCTTCCCATCACTCTAGCCCGCCTTATGGTTACAGCAGGGTCGTCAAGCCAGTCATCCACCCTGCGGACTTCGTTCTAAGTTGAAATGGAGCTTGTACGTAGCTCCGGGTATTGCTCAAAAAGGCGAAAACGGGCGCCAGGTTTGTCGAGTATCAGTGAGAGTGCCAATCTACCGGACATACTTGGACTAGTGTACATTAGCAGTATTCTTCATATCCCTTCGGAAGACTTGACCCACCATAAATCTTCTGTGAAAATCGGAGCGCAACAAATCCTGTCATATCATTAGCGTCATTCCAGATGCCGCGCTGAGAAGTCTTACGTTGACAAACTCTTTGCCCCGTTTCTCTTCGGTCCCGCGAGCTTGATTCTTGAAGACAACGTCGTCGTCCCATCTCCGCTTGAGATTGAAGTCTTGGGGATTGAGCAGCGGGTTGCCCCTGGCAATGTCATACTCTCGTTGCTCCTCTTCCTGTGCAGCACGTTCGCGTTCCTAGAAATCGGTGAGTATGGTAGAAAACTACACAATCGAATGAAACCAACCTCTTTCTCTTTCTGCTCTAGCCTCTCCCTCTTAATTTTTTCCAGTTCCCGCATCAATTCCGCAGCTTCATCTTCGTCATCACTGCACCGTGTGAGCATGTTCCATCGCAGCCTGACCGGGAATGGGATATTTACCTCTCTTCTTCACTACTGTCATCCTCTGATCCTTCCGAGTCCGCGTCTATATCCCGAGTTTCCTCTAATATCCGCCGTCGTTTTGCTTCCGGGTCCTCTTCTGCTTCGCCTGCACCATCAGGAGGGGCCCCTTCTAGTAGACGTTTCGGCGCCGCGCTTTCAATGACCGGTTCAGTGATTGGGACTCCGTTCTTCTTGGCAAAGTGAGCCGCCTCAGCCTGGAGTAGCTCGGCTCGTAGGTCGCGTTGTCGGACTTCGGTTTCACTTCCTTGCCCTAGTTGACTGGAGATAGTCAGAATGGAGTGTCCTCCGCTGATAACGCGTTGACCTACCGAGTCTTGAGGTGTGTATATGCGGGTAGAAGTCGTTGATGATAAGCTGGTCCACGAAGGGCCTCTTTCCCTTGCGCCTATACCATGGTGAGCTCAGCTTCAAGCACGAATAGTGAGAATGAGCACCTACGGGATCGAAGGTGGGTCTGTGAGCTATGATCAAGTTAGCGCATTAACTTTGCAATGTCATATTTAGCTTCACCATACCTGTAGTCATGATGGGTTGTCACGGATGGGCTGTTGTATGTTTCCTGTTGGATGATCTATTCTTGCCGGAGGATGATAATGCCAATGTTGCGGCCTCAGGCTACAAGATGAATCAGCCATTCTCACCGCTTTCGGGCTACTACTGATATGATTGGCTTATCTGGAAGATTGATGATCCGCTGCATTCAATGACGCTGCAGAATCCAGAAATTTCCCAAAAAGTCCGTCTTGGTCGACCCCGTCGGGGCCAAGTCCGCCTCCGCAACCATGAACAAAGAAGCACCGCTCTCAATTGCTGAGCGCGACTTCATCCTCAATGCTCTGCGCGAGGATGTGAGACTGGATGGTCGCCACGCTGACCAGCTTCGTCCTCTGACCGTAACATTCGGGGAAGAGTACGGGCATGTGAAAGTGCAGCTGGGCAAGACGAGGTGGGTTCTGTCCCTTCGATTCAGCGTCGTATCTGAAGCAGACTGACCTTTCTATAGTCTCATTGTGCGCATATCGTCGGAAGTAACAAAACCTCGCGATGACCGTCCCTTTGATGGCATCTTCACAATTGCCTTAGAGCTTACGGCTATGGGCTCACCAGCTTGGGACAATGGACGGTATGGCTGGCACCATGTGTTGGACCGCGAATTCAGCTAATATCCATACTCATCAGACAAGGAGATCTCGAAGCTTACGTCGCACACGTCCTTGACCGACTTGTGCGCCACTCGAACGCTTTAGATACCGAGTCATTGTGCATCCTCAAGGGAGTCAGTTGCTGGAGCATCCGCGCCGACGTCCACGTCACCGACTACGATGGCAACCTCATTGACGCCGCGTGTATTGGAGTGATGGCTGGACTGCAGCACTTCCGTCGTCCGGATGCGGTTGTCAAGGACGGACAGGTGGTTGTCTACGGGCTAGACGAGCGGGTGCCGGTTCCCTTGAATATTACGCACAAACCTCTTTCGGTTACCTTTCACACCTTTGATGAAGGCAAACGGGTCATCCTCGATGCGACTCGGAAAGAAGAGCAAGCCTCGGAAGCGGACGTCGTCTTTGGCATGAATAATGCCGGAGATGTGTGTTTCGTTTCCAAGTTTTCCGGCTCCCCTGTGGATGCATTAGTATTTGTGTCGAAGTCATCGGTTGCTCTTGAGAAGGTCAAGGAGATCAATGCGATTATCGACAAAGCCCTGCAAGCCGATTCTGCTAAAAGGTCAAAGAACGGAATGGCGGAAGAATCAAGGGCGGAGAATGACCGGTGACTCGATACTCATGAGCATAACAACGACGAAAGGCAACATGGTAATGATACCAAGGATGTGATGTAATATAGAGCTCCATAATGATGTTTATTAGTCTCAATTGAAGTCTTCCCAGTCTATCTCTACAGTATTACACGTGTACAGGAGGTCTCGGTCGATCTAGAAAGCGAAATCACACATGGCTTCAGGCGAGACGTCCGCAGCCCCTGTCAATCATGTCGAGAAATCATAATCGGATCGACTCTTGGGGACGATGGATCGTTCTCAGGCCTCAGCTTTTACCCTGAGTGGGCCGGTGGACGCGCATCCTCATTTGGCACAGGAACAAAACGGCTGCTGGGGGGGGGAGGTAAAAGCGTAAATCGAGAAAAAAAAAAAAAAAAAAGGAAAACAAGCGGTCCTCAGGGGAATGAATGTCTCAACCAATTCGAATACTTGAGAACCTTTCTATCAAACTTCTTAGCTTTTCACGAACGTTGACTTCCGTGTCTCTGTTGTTGACTATTTATAAAGCCAGCTAACTAACTTACCTTGGTGAACCACGGCCGAGTGTCAGCACCGCCCAGTGGAATCCGCAACAGCCAACCAGCCAACGTCGTTTCGCCGCCCATCCCAAAACACCTCTTCTAGGCATTCAAGAATAGTCTACCATTTGCTACTTGCTGTCCTTATTCGCATCTTCCAGCTCTTCACAATCTGCCTCGTCCGATCGGTTCTTCCTTCCAACCCGTTCAAACCCCCTTGCGCAACCTCGTGGCCGTTGTTGTCAACCAAATTACCCAGCCACTCCCCACTCACTCTTCCCCGAGTCTCGGTCAATGCTTCAGGGTCACAACATCTCTGTGACGGAGTTTAGCCGCACCAAGCATCATGGCCAGCGGTAGGCCTCCAGGTCTCCATCCAGCCGCTGGCCGCGATGAGGACCTGATGCAGATGGAGGATTCGACTCCCATATACAGTACGGGGCAGCGCCCGCCGGTCAACGACGACAACCTGTTGCGACAGTACAATATTGACGATTCCGATCAGCCTCAACCGCGTCCCTCGGTCTCGTACGATAACTTTGTTGGCGGGCGGGCACCGCCAGCTGCTGGAGCCCATGCATCGACCTCTGCGCATCCTCCGGCC